TGGTTTGGAACTGTGAGTGCGTGTGCTCGCTCGCTTCACTTGCGCGCAGTACTTTGCACATGGGTAGAGCATCCATGATGACATCTGGGCAGGTGGTCGGAGCCTCCCGCCCCCGCTGCTACCAGTTTGCCCAAACCAGGGCGAACTAGTAGAAACCCACCACTGATAGCAACCCCATAACAATCCATATACAAGGCAGATGCTAATTCCCCAGTGCTATTAATCACTGATTGGTGCTTTCTTATATTTTCCATGCAGTTTTACAGATGCAATGTAACAATTTATAGAAGGAAAAAAGAATCTGTAAAAGAGGTATTTATACAGTATGTCCTTAAATGCTTGGAAGCATCAATTCCTTTGTAACTACAGTATAATGCCATTAGCAGGTTTTCAATACAGTCTATGTATTGTCCATTTTTAGAGATAGAAAAGTTAAAAAGGAGCTGGTTTTGTTTCTTACAGTACACAAAGAACAAACCAAAAAAGATATTTTATTTACTGTAATAAGTCATGATCCTATTTGGATACAAATGGCAAAAAAGTCAAAGGAAAATATGAAATACAGCTTTTTCTATGAGAATGGTGTGTATCATGGAAACAAGTTTGGCAATTCTGAGTGTACTGATGTGATGATCTATTTGCATAAAGACTCAAGCCTAAAATAAAACAGCACTAATATTACTTTTTGGAGAAATATAAGCATTTAAATAAGTATTCATTGCTGATTTAGAGAAAGGAAACTTCTTTGACCTTCCTGACAACAGCAATGGCATTAAGAATGTAGTTAGGCTGCCATCTGCTGATCACAAAGAGTTTCTGAAAATCTGAAATACAGAAGCAAGACTGATGCTGGACAATTAGTCAAAATACTTCTGCTTTAGTCAATGTACAATGTAGTCCCTAAAAGATTGCCCTCTTTTCACTACATTCATTGGGAATTTATATCCTAGCACTATAAGCAGTATAATTCCTTCTTGGACCACCTACAATATGTGGAAGAAAGCAAATATTAGAGAAGGAGGTGTAAGAAAGCCAGCAGTGTGAAAGAAAGATTCAACAAAATTTGGCTCTAAATCCTAATGCCATCATAACAAATGTCTCCTGCAATAATGCTTCCCTTAACAAACATTTTACCCTAACTATTAATGCATGACAACCCTAGATTCATGTGCCTTCCATTGCGCTGGGATTGATAACAATCTGACAATAACAATGCTTACTGGAAAAGATTTAGACAGTCTTGAACAATGGATTGAAACACCCAAGGTGAAATTGAATAGAAAGAGACCTAAACTCCTACATCTGGGAAGACAAAAAAAAAAAAAGTGTGTGTGGGTGTGTGTGTGGGTGAGTGGGAGAGACAAATAAAGTATATGGAGAATGAAACAGATCCAGGTGTTATAGTAATCACAAGTAAAACACAAGCTAATAGTGCAATGCAACCAGGGGTGAAATCTGAATTTTTTTTATTTTTTTTTTTACTTTTAAAAGCATTTTTTCTACAATCTCTTTGGCTGAAGAGGTTGCAGAAAAAAAATGCTTTTAGAAGCCTCTGACGATCCCAGTTGAGCTGCGTGATCATCAGAGGCTTTTTTTTTTACTTTTAAAAGCATTTTTTCTGCCGAAGAGGTTGTAGAAAAAATGCTTTTAAAAGTAAAAAAAACAGCTTCTGATGATCTCGCGGCTCAACTGGGCATGGGGTGGGGGGACACAGGAATTTTTGCTACCGGTTCTCCGAACCACCTGCCGCCATCGCTACCAGATTGGGTGATCCAGTCCGAACCGGGAGCATTTCACCCCTGAATGCAACCATTAAAAGCAAATACTAGTTTAGGATGCATTAACAGGAGTCTGAAGTCCAGACCGCAGAAAATAATTGTTACACTCTAGTCCACATTGATCAGATCCCATTTCAAGTAATATTTAGTTCTGGGAATAGCATCTGAAAAGAACATTATTGAACAAGAATTAAGTTCATAGGAGGGTTACCAAAATGGAGATGTAGCCAAAAAATCCTATATTCACTATGCTGCTCCGAAGAGAGGAAAAGATAGCGATAGCAAAGACTGTGAAGATGTCTCCTTCACTGCCCCCAGCACAGAGAAGTAGATATTATCCCAAAGACAGATCTTCCTAATGGTTCTGGTAATAGAACATTCTTAACCTAATCCAATTTCTCACTGATATATTCTTACTGGTAATGTAATTATACTGGTCAGAAGATACGCCTCAAGAAATAGAGTTCTATTCTTCCATCTACTGATCCCTGAGAGAAGACTGTCAAAGCTTCATGGGTCTTCATCCTCTTCCAGTTTTTCAGGCAAATAGATATTATTTGGCCACCTCAGCCAAACTTTGGGACTACATTTTGTGCTGCCAAGCCTTATAATGAATTTGATAACAAATAGAATTCTTTTCAGTTCTCTATTCTAGCTCCCCACACCCCAAGGATTAGTTATGTAAAGCAGATTGGGTTCAGATGCTCCCATGGTACAATCACCAGATAGAATTAAATTTAATTAAATAATTTAAGCTTATCCATGACATGCTGTTTCGGCTTAAATTTAATGTCTTTGGAAGTTAGTTGACTTGGTCAATTGCCCATTTTCGGATGCTTCCAAGTTCCACAACATACTAAGCATACCTCATTTATTTAGTTAAGGTTGCTATGGAAAAAGCCAATAAATTTCCATATTCCCTGTTAACTTCCTGGGGATTGTGTGTTAGTTACAGATAATGCAGTTTTCTTTCTCAATGACAAAGACTAAGCAAATTGTGCTCTCCTTCGGTTTCATTTCTTCATACGGACATGGATTCAGTCATTGTGCTAAACAATGCTGTAGTTATTTTGGTTGTGACATAGCATGTTGTATAATGCATCCTTTCAGTGGTGGCTTATTCAGTAAATCATGGTTCATCAAATCACAGTTTTAATACAGTTAACGAAGTAGTAGAAACTAAAGATGCTAAGTGTGGGAAAGCAAGACCAGGACCTTCCAATTTTTGCAAACAAATAAAAAACAGTGTTCACTCTAACTTTGTACAAGTAGTAGTTATGGTATTGGTTCGAAACAAACTTGAAGCTTCAAAGAATCCTGAACTGTATTCAAAACAGTTGTCAGAGCTGAAGAAGCTTCTTGGATGAGAAGCGAAACACCTTCAAAGAAAATCTAGTTGCCTCTTGAAAAAGCACTTTTGGGTGTAGTCAAAACAAGCTTGCAAAACAATTGGTGAGGACAGAAAAAACTGCCTTGGAAAATGTAAGAAATGACTTTTTCAAAGCCTAGATTTTAAGAGAGCTGAGTTTCTAGATTTATAATGTTACTCTGAGTAGCTGATCAACTGTTTGGCCAAGTTGTGGAGAACTTCTGGTACAAACAAGGTTCAGCTGTATCCTGCTGTTTTCTCCTGGAGGAAAAAAGGATGGCTAGAACTACAGGAAAGGGGCATGCCAAACTAGGATGAAGTGTCTAATAAGTGCTAGGCTTACCCCGTCCCCTAGTCACTTGACGCTCACAGGTGCATCAGATTTTCATTGCCTTGACATTCCTGCAGGTTATTTTAAAACCAGATTGGCTAAGAAGAACTTAAGCCTGTCTCACAGAAGGGCTGAGGTCAAAATAAAGCCAATTTTATGGGGATACAATGCAATTAAAAAATGCCAGGGCATGTTTGTATTGTGATTAGAGTGAAATCACAATAGACTGCCAGCACAATTAATTAATATTTTACATAGACTACCCAACAGATGCTGGGAAATTACAGATAATCCACTCACAAATAATTTGGAACTGTAACAGTTTAGAAACAGAGTCACAATTTCCAGTTTGTCAGCTGGCCTAGAAAGTAGTATATTCAACCTTGTTTCCTCAGCAGTTCCCTTTCTCTTAACAAGCAATCTTTGGAATCAAAAGAACAAAATGGAAACAATGAAATGGAGATTTTTCAGATTACATTGTTAAAACAGGGTTTGCTTGTGGCTTAATACATTATACAATCTAGCCAGAATGGTTGGTAAACCAGTAAACCATGTTTACAGCTTAATATGTATATACTGTAAACCCAATCAAGCAGTCTGTGAGATTGATATGTGATTGATGTGGACTAATATAATTGATGTGGTCAGCTAATACATAAATAAATAAAAATAATAGGTACTACTGTGAGAAACCAGCCTTTGTAGTTTCTTAATGACACATTGTGCAAACCTAAACAACTGGTTGCAGCAAATAGACACAGAAGGAATTTGTCTCTGGTGCATAAACTCTTAGTGTACATACAAGCAACAAGTGATAAATCATGATCATAATCATACAATCATAAAAGATAAGATAGGACACTCAGTGATAGTCGTAAGATACTAAATAAAAGCAATCAACACAAATCATAAGATACAAATGTGTTATTAAAACAGATCCAGAACTGATTCAATTGCAGAACATTTTCACGCTGGCAAGTGGTAAAAATACCTAGAAATTTCCAAAGAATACCAGAGCTCGACTAGAGGGGGAAAATAATCTCACAAACAGGCAGACCACTTCTTAACAAGGAAGCTGCAAGTTTGGAAGGAAACTTAATTTTTTTTTAAAAAAAAAACCCCACACCTTCTCCACCCACTACTATGACGTCACCTGAAAGCAGTCACACTTGCTTGGGCGTTCTTTCGAACTCTCCCGCCGCACCCCCCCCCCCCCCACCTCCGCCAGCCAATCGGGCGAAGAGAAAACCCGTCGGCTCATCCAATCCTACTCGGGACCGGCCGAGGACCCGGAAGCGCCCCTTGCCGCTGAGACGTCACAATGGTTGCGATGGCGCTTGCGCAGTGACACGTCGCCTTCCTTGTGAGGAGTGTGTCGGCTTTGCCGGAGGCGAGCGGGAGGGGGCGGGGCAACAAAAGCGTGAACTGGCGTCGAGAGCGGCCGGCGGGGCGGGCGGGTGGGTGAGCGAGCCAGCGAAGGGTGCTTGCTCTTCCCGCTCCTCCTCTTCCCCCCTCCTCCCTCCTCATTCTCGCGGGATCCTTGCAAGAGGCGGCCGCTGGGGCCGCTTGAAGGAGCGAGCACGCAAGCCGAGCGGGGGGGCGGGGCGTGCGGGCAGCCATGGCCGGGCAGCAGTTCCAGTACGATGACAGCGGCAACACTTTCTTCTACTTCCTCACCAGCTTCGTAGCCCTCATCGTTATCCCCGCCACCTACTACCTGTGGCCGCGGGACCAGCACGCCGGTGAGTACCTCCGCCCACGGATCTCGGCTTTTCCCTTCGAGCGGTGGCGGTGGCGGCAGGCCCCGGCGCCCTCAGGCTTGCCTCCCCTTTTCGGTTCTCCCTTCCTCTAGCCTAGCCTAACCTCGAGAAAGGGACGCCGGGTGGGGGGTTTCCCCTTAACCGCCTCCCCTCTTCCTCGCGGAGCGTTGCAGGGCCTTCGCTTCTCTTCCCCCGCCACCCACCCTACCCCGGTGCTGGGTTCTCCTTCCCGGTCCGAGCAGGTGGGAAATCTCAGGTTAGTCAGAGGAGTTGTGGCTCGGCTTGGAGTAACGCCTTGCAGGTCTTTCTCTCCTACTCTTTGTGCCGTGGAGGAAGCGGTTGGGTGAGTTCTTGGTGGTTAATTCAGCCCCTGATTCTCAGGTTAAGTGTATCTATTGTTCAAAACGTTCTTAACGATCCCTCTCATCCTGGGCACCTTTTTTTTTGTTGGAACTATTATTATTATTAATAAAAACAAGGACAAATAGGCTGAAAAACAGCTTCTGTCCCAGGGCAATAACCATACTGAATTCTACGGTGTATATATATATATATATATAAGAGCCTTGGTAGCGCAGCAGACTAAAGCACTGTTAAGTAACACCAGCTGCCTGCAATTACTGCAAGTTCAAATCTCACCAGGCTCAAAGTTGACTCAGCCTTCCATCCTTTCGAGGTAGGTAAAATGAGGACCCGGTTTGTGGGGGGCAATAAGCTGACTTTGTATAAAAAAGAACACCGCTTATTGGGGGGGGGCGCGAAAGCCCTACTAAGCAGGTATATACAAAAGTATGAAGGCTATTGCTTAACGCATTGTAAGCCGCCCTAAGTCTCCAGAGAAGGGCGGCATATAAATCAAACCAATAAATAAATATAGTGCAGGGAGTCTCCAACCTTGGCAACTGTAAGACTTGTGGACTTCAACTCCCAGAATTCATCAGCCAGCAAAGCTCCAAAGGTTGGAGACCTCTGGTAGAGTGCAATATAATAATAACTTTATTGTCATTGTATGTGTATACACAGTATACTCATACAACGAAATTCACTTAACACCCAAAGACCAGGTCCAACACACAACAATCCCCAAACACACTTCCACCCAGCACAAATTCCCTACCCCTAAACCACCCAAACATCCACACAACAGACCAAGCAATGCTGTCCAACAGCTCACTGATGATGGCCCTTTAGTTCATTGTTAAGTGCAAATATATAGCTCTGGGATAAAAACTATTCAGAAAACATGTGGTCCGAGTTTTAATTGTTGTGTATTTATTTATTTATTCGATTTATATGCCACTCTTTTCCAGAGACTCAAGGAAGTTTACAATGCGTTAAGCAATAGCCTTCATACTTTTGTATATACCTGCTTAGTAGGGCTTTCGCTCCCCCCCTAAGCGGTGTTCTTTTTTATACAAAGTCAGCTTATTGCCCACACAATCCGGGTCCTCATTTTACCTACCTCGAAAGGATGGAAGGCTGAGTCAACCTTGAGCCTGGTGAGATTTGAACTTGCAGTAATTGCAGGCAGCTGGTGTTACTTAACAGTGTTTTAGTCTGCTGCGCCACCAAGGCTCTTCTGCCAGAAGGCAACAGTCCATTGGGTTTTCAATTTCAATTATATAGTATGTAAAGGATGTATGTTTGTGTTTTTATTTTTGTAGTTATAATGTACACTAAAGACGGCATTTAATTTCATTGTACCATGTGCAATGACAATAAAGTAAACTATATAAACCATTGAGGGATGGAAAGAGCAGGAACTACACCTGAGATTAATCCCACAATGTAAAGAGGCTTGTACAGGTAGTCCTCGACTTGCAACAATTCCTCCAGCGAATGTTGGAAGTTATACCGGGGCTAAAAAAGTGACTCATGACCATTCTTTCACAGTGATGACCATTCTTTCAGTCATGGCCCTTGCAGCATCCCCATGGTCACCGTGATTTACATTTGGATGCTTGACAACTGACTCACCTGTATGATGGGTTGCGGTGTTTCCGGAGTCGTGTGATTTCCCCCTTTTGCGACCACCTGACAAGCAACGTCAGTGGGGAAGCCAGATTCACATAACAGTTGTTTTATTCATGTAACAACTCCAGCGATTCACATAAAAAATGTGGCAAGAAAAGTCGTAAAATGGGGCCAAGCTCACTTAACAAATTTCTCACTTAGCAACATAAATTTTGGGCTCAGTTGTGATCATAAGTCGAGGACAACCTGTACTTCCTCTTGCTCTCTGCAGAAATCCCAACAGGTGATTGTTAGTCTCTAGTTGCTCCATGGATGCTTAACATCTCTTGCTACCTTGTAGTTCTTTCTAACATTTAGCTAGAATCTTCTCTTCATTTCAGTCCATTGACTCTTGCCGTGTTTTCCATCGCAACACAGAACAGGCTTGTCCCATTTGCACATGACCTCCTTTTAGGTATTTGTAGATCATTATCATGATTCTCTTTAATCTCTTTTGCCAACTCAGCGTGTCTAGTTCCTTGGAGAGCTTAATTTCCAGACTCTTTAACACCTTGATAGCTTTCTTCTGAATTTTCCCCAGCTTTATCCTGCAAAGAAAAGAAAACTCTAATCTGAGTGCTGTCTGACTAGTGTCGAATGCCATAAACTGGACATAATCTAATACATTTCTTGCTCATTTTCAGCTGGTAGTCGCCCTTAGACCATTTTCACACAAATTGCCATCATCAAGCATCCCCAGTCCTGTATCTATGCACTTGATTTTTCATACCTAAGTACAAGGCCTTCCACATGTCACAATTTATCATTACCTGCTAGGTAATATCCCCACTGGGTTGGAGATATTACCTTGTTTTATGGTTTTAATTCAGAAATATAACACATTTCCCTAGCTTGGTACCTTGCAAAGAGTAAGGCCATGCATTACTACTTGTTACAGAAAATAGAAGTGTATCTGAATGAAAAAAGAACATGGATGTATGTGCATTGAACAGGTTATATGCCAACTTTTCCCAATGAAGTACAAAAGTAATTCTGACTAGGGTTGATGGCTCTGTATTGATAATGGAAAGCAGGCATCAGTGTGAAGATTATAAACTTTGTCTAGGTCACAGTGTATACTTTTTGTTTGAAGGGGAATTACTAGATTTTATGTTGAAAGGAAAAAGTTTGTATTATTGATTTTAAGTATTACAGAGTTAAGGAGCAAAAATATTAATTAAATGACCACAACTTGAAAGCATAAGGTTGTAGTCATAGTAATCTAGACAATTTGGTGTTTTTTTTCTCAATGATTTTTATAGAATAGCATTTGGATGTCAAGCTTTCTTCCAGTGTAGCTTTTGTACATACAGAAAAGCATCTGCGATATGTATTGGAATCTCAAGTAAGTGGGGCATATCTTGTCCCTGCCATGGCACCCCAATGTTCAGCTGACCATATAATTTGTTTTTGAATGATATTGTAAATGAGATGCATTCTTTCAATATTATTTTTCCTTACTTTCCGTCATAATGAAAAGAAATAGATGCATTTGTCAGTGTTTATAATGTGCAGTTATTTATATCTCTCATTGCGAGATAATTCTGTAAATTCTTGGGGATGAGTGGATTTAGTACCTATCAGATATTTTATGTTTGACATTTTGTCTTAGTGTAAAAGTAGAATGGATATTTGGGAATAAAGAATTTAGTATTTCTAGATCACACACAGGATGATTTTATAAAATTCTTTTATTTCCTAATACATGAAAATTATTTTGTAGAATTTTTCCCTTAATATGTAAGAAAAACATGTTTTTCTTGTATAAAGTTTAAAGTGATTATTGCATTGAGGTAATATGAAGTAGTTATACATTTAAAACATTTTGTCATATCCAGCTTTTTAATATCAGCACCAAGAATATTAAAAAATGATCTTATTCCCAAATATTGTCTGAATTATAATCTCTTTTATCTTTTAACACTGCATTTGATACCATTAGTACAGCTCTCGGTACTGTTTATCTGTTTTTACAGTGTTTTAAATGGTATAACTGTTGATGAGATTGCAACAATTTTTATATAAAATTATTTCTGGGTTTAATAAATGTGATCTGAGTTTTAAGAGGCCTCATTTATTCCTGCCTATCTTAAAAATGTTACTCTTGGGTCTGAACAGGATTTATTATTTTGAATACATATACCACTTCTATTTTGATATCTTAGCCTTATTTTTGCATGCAGATTCCATCCCTTAATTTGCTGTGAAAAGTTGGTTACTATGTAATTTTTGAACAATTATATAATGAGCTGAACATAACAAATCAACTAGCAAAAGGTAATCAAGCATTTACAGTATTTACAGAAGTTATCTAACAAACCTGGCCCCAAGCTGCTGAATCTTTTAAAGACAACTAGGCAACCCAATTGGGTCATTCTTTCAGGGATATTTGCTCATGAGATTCTTCTGTGCCTTTAACAGTGACACAATTTTTAATGTATTGCCTTCACTGGAAAAATTGCGATACATTCAGAGATGTATCCACCTTGAAAATAGCCCATGTTGAATTGTATAGCACAATCAAACATCAGCACAGGAAATATGTTATGACATTTTGTATGATGTCATTAACTGTTTTATTATAATTTTTATGTCATAAAATGATTTATAAAATTTGCTAAGTTTCAGTTCTGCAGGAGTCATGGGTCCTGAATTTGGGATGCATTCTATAAATTAGCCCATTTCAGGTACCTTGGTTTAAAAATTGTTGCCCGGTGATACATGATTTTGCTCAGCTAAAGATTCTGGGAATGAGAATTTTAGTAGTATATAGATAGCTAAATGAGCACCTTGAAAGGTTTAGAAATATAGTAGAATCAGTGTGGAGCCAGTTTGGTGTAGTGGTCAAAGCATTAGGTTAGAAACTGGGAGACTCTGAATTCTAGTCGTTTCGTAGGTAGAAAGCAAGTTAGATAACTTTGGGCCAATCATTTTCTTTCAGCCCTAGGAAGGATGCAATGGCAAACCACCTCTGGAAAATCTTGCCAAGAAAACTACAGAAACTTATTCAGGCAGTTTCTGAGAATTGGACACTACTGAATAATCATAATAAAAAAAGTCAGTGCAAATAAGGAAGCAGTACAGTTGCATGCTTCATAAGACTTTTTGAAAATTGCACTTTTCAAACATTATTTGAGCACTGGACAAAGTGAAGTTCAGCAATTTAACTTACATTCAGTCAAGACATGCATAGTCATAATTAGATTTGTCTGCAATAGATATAGTTGGTAAAATAGAAAAATCTGTGCAAAACTATGCCTAGTGTACCTACTGTAAAGTTACGTCTATGTACATATCCAAATAGCTCCTTTCAAGAATAATTATGCCTACTATGAAGCAGCGGTGTTATCACATATTAGTGATTGGTTTAATCTAACTGAGGGTAGAGTTCTGAATGTAGAAGGTTATGATTTGTTATATGGATGGCATGCTTATTTGTTATATGATAAAAAAGTGGATAAAGTATTCAAGGTTAAGGATTTGGAAAAAATATCAGTATAAGTTAAATTACAAGATACCTGTATGGGCAAATCCTAGACATGCAATAGAAAATATAAGTATAGAACAAAAACAGGAGGTGATTACTTATAAAGAGCTTCTTACTATGGAAAGGGGGGTAATGTACTTGAAATCTCTAGATACGTTGAGAGAAGAAGGTATAATTTATACATGGTTTCAGTATGGTCAGCTTCAAGCTAGATGGAAGGAAGATCAAAAAACTGGCTTTGTGCAAAATGAGGAGAATTTGGTAAAACAAATTAGAGATCAAAAACAAATGCATATTAAAAGGTTGTATAATGTTTTATTAGAAATAGATTCCGAGACGGAATTGGTTAAAGACTGTATGATTAAATGGGCACAAAACTTTCAGGAACCAATAATGATGGAGACTTGGGAAAAAATTTGGATTAGAAATGTGAAATTTACACAAGCACAAAATTTAAGAGAAAACTTTTACAAAATGTTTTATAGATGGCATTTAGATCCCAAAAAGTTATCATGTATGTATCCTAATGTGCAAGCTAAATGTTGGAGATGTGACTGTGATGACGCAACTTATTATCATATATGGTGGACTTGTAGAAAAATCAAAGCATTTTGGATAAAGATTTGGTGGGTGATGCAGAATATTCTTAAAAAGAAACTGAAATTTACTCCACAGTTGTTTTTATTGGGTATAACCACAGATTGTACAGTTGTAGAGACTAAATTGATTTTGAACTTGATAACAGCAGCAAGATTGTTGGTTGCACAACATTGGAAGAAGGATTTTTTGCCTACTATTGATGATTGGATATTGAAAGTAACTAATTTAGCTGAAATGGCTAAAATTTCAGCATTTTTGAAGGATCACACACAAGAAAGATATATACAGGATTGGAGAAGATGGATTGATTATATACAAAATAAGTATCAGACCAAAAAATATCAAATAGCTTACGAATGATGTTTTTTTTCTTATTATTTGTACAAGTGCTATATAAGTGATATTAGAAATATTATGTTTAAGAAATAGGATTTCATATATGGGGGGTTAAGGGAATTTTTCTTTTAGGGGTGTTAGCATAATTGGTTATGCAATTTAGCTTACTGTTAAAGCTTAATAGAAATACCTTGTGTTCTGCTCTGGGAAGTCGGGGAAGGGGAGGGGGGGTGGGTTGTGGGGAAATTGTATTTGTTGTAAAACTCTTTCAATAAAAAAAAAAGAATAATTATGCCTACCATCTTGCTGAAAGGTGACTCTATCTTTGTATTAGGATGGGTAGTGGCAGTGGCAAGAATGTCCCAGATAAAACAGATGATGCCTTGTTGTTGTAGCTAGCTATTAATGGTCAACCTTCAAATTAGAATTTGTATTTCTGTGTAGTTTGCATATTCTTTGAAAACAGATGTGGTCAGACATTTGAGATTGAATTTAGATGGAGATATATATTACAAATGCAGATGCTATATGTTCCATATTTATAGTTCAGTATTTAAACAAATTTTTATTAACCTAATTCAGAAATAACCATCTGATCAGAGGATCTGAAGGCTATATCTCTAAACCTCATGTCCATACTTAGAATAATCTGTCATAAATTAACCATAGTTGTTTAAAACACATTAGATATATAGTAGATTCTTATTCTTAATCCTTACAGTAAGTCATATTTCCTTGAATTCGATTTAATCTCTGCTCCTCTCCACAAGAACATTTTGCACTCGTAAAATCCAGGGACGTTTATTAATACTGAATCAGAGTTTGTTACAGCCAAAGTAGTCCATGTTCTGCCTTCCTGTTTAAATGATTGTAGTAGTTAAAATAAAGTAGCTCTCTGTTTTACTGGTAAAATGACCAGAGTTTTCAAAATTTTATTGTTTGCTTAGTAAGACATAAAAGATTAATGTACACACACTAAATTATAGTTTAATGTGTTATATGGAATCTATTTGGCATGTGGTTCTTTAATTTTTGAGGTTCAACCTTTGAAATAAATAGTATACAGTATTTATTATAAATTGCATCGTAAGAAAGAAACTTAACGCACAGTTCTGTGTATGCTTATCTATGAATAAGGTTCACTAAACACTGTGGGATTGTTACAAATTGAGATGATGCAAGATTAAGTAGTACCACAATACCACAATAACGGTCTAAATTTCAATAGAGGACTGTTTGCTTTTCCCCTGATATTTGTAGGTTCTTACTTCATGTTAGAGAGTGAATTTGTTAAAATATTCTTAACAAAGAAAGTTTGGCCCCAGTAAAAAAATAAAACTGTTGCATATTCAGAACTAATTCCCATTTGTTTCTTATTCCCTTTTCTTTAAAAAAAATTCTGAAAAATAATTTCTCTAAAGTTTCTATAAAGAATGTATTTCCCCAGTCTTATTGATGCTGAATAAAATCTAGGTTTTTTTTTTTTACTATAAAAAGAATAGCTTGTTGACAGTATAATTTAGTTGGCAGAGTGTTTGACTTGCATGTAGTATTTTGCTGGTTTGGGATTTTTGAAAAAAAGTATAAACTGTGGCTTGTAAATTTGAATGTAGAAGCCATATTATATTGTAGTGGGTAAACCATAATGGTGTTGCAGAAGCTATGGATCCTGGTGAGTCAGCTCTCCATCTCTCTTCCCACACCCTCATCTTAGGAGCAGAATTTCTGTTAAATGTTAAACATGTTAAGTTTTGGTGAGCTGTAACTTATAGACCAAATGTTGCAGTGCCTTTCTGTGAATAGATTACATTGTAGTACATTGATTAGAGTTTCGATCTAATCAATTCACTAACAGATAAAGGGGAATGGTAGTTTTCACAGATGCCTTGCATCTTTCATAGTATTCTGAATGATCCTCCAACTTTTGGACCTGGAGTACAGGCTATATAGAGGAGGAATTGCTAAAAATCACTTTTCCATTCATGGAGATAGGTCTACTAAGTCCCTTATCTGAACAGAAGGATACAATCTTAATACCCACTAAATTCTAACAGACAATGTTAATTGTCAATGTTGCAACGCAGTCAATACAGGTAGTCCTCAAGTTAACGACCACAATTGAGCCCAAAATTTATGTTGCTAAGTGAAACATTTGTTAAGTGAGTTTTGTCCCATTTTATGACTTTTCTTGCCACAGTTGTTAGTGAATCATTGCATTTGTTAAGTCAGTAACATAGTTGTTAAGTGAATCTGTCTTCCCCATTGACTTTGTCAGAAGGTTGCAAAAGCTGATCACATGACCCCCAGGTCACTGCAACCATCATAAATGTGAACTGGTTGCTAAGCACTTGAATTTTGATCATGTGACCCCAGGGATGCTGCAACAGTTGTAAGTGCGAAAAATGGCCATAAGTCACTTTTTTCAATGCCGTTGTAACTTTGAACTGTCACTAAAGGAACTGTTGTAAGTCAAGGACTACCTGTATTGAGTGGAAGGTATATGTTGCCCAATGTTGCTACTGCCAAGCCAACATCACCTCTGTATAGTCGTCTTTTTTTTTGGTAACTTTTAAAATATTTGTGTTAGCAGGTGTATCACCAGGCTAACCTGGTTTGAAAGCTAAGTTGAGTTGTGCCTGGTTAATACATAGATGGGATTTTTACCTTGTATTATGATTATGACTTCTGACAAGTAAAAAAGGAGGTTTGGGAAGCTAGTTCAGAAAATAGATGGTTCATATTCTGTTCATTTGTATAGTAGAAGGTAAATGATGCTGGGGGGAAAGATGAAATACTTGCCTTTACAGCAAGGGTGTCAAACTCAATTTCATTGAGGGCTGCATCAGGATTGTGTTTGACCTCGGGGGCCAGGGTGGGCATGGCCAGCATGACATCACTTGTGTCGGCGAGAGCCTGTGATGGCCCAAGTGCTGTGCCAGCGAAAACAGGCTCCTGAGCTCCGTTTTCAGCTGGGACAGCCTCCTGCAACCTTCTGCCAGTGAAAACGGATTTTTTGGGGGGGGTACGGATAGCCCTCACAAGCTCCATTTTCGCTGGCAAAGGAACTGTGATCCGATTCTTTGCTATTTCCAAGGCGGCCCCGTGGGGCAGATCTAAGCATTCCGCAGGCCGAATCAGGCCCCTGGGCCTTGACTTTGACACCCCTGCTCTACAGGTAGTATTGCAAAGTTTTTCCTTTAAGATTTGAACAGTTTGAAGAAGAAAGCCTAATGTGTAAGATACTTTATTTTTATTAAATAGTAAAATTATCTTCCCCAGAGCAAATTCGTTTAAAGAATTTAAGAAAAGTTTATGGAAGATGCCTGTGGTATCGATTGCGATTGTTAAAGCCCCAGCAGAATATAATTCCTACAGTAAAGTAAGTATAATTGGTTTCTATTTTATGGGGATTTTTAAAAGAATTTTAATAAAAGCAGATTATTTCAACATTATAAAATGTTTAGAAAAATGATAAGATCAGCATTTTACCAATAACTCCTAGGAGATGTTAATGAAGTTTTAATTGTAAAGAAATTGAAAATGATTCCAAAGTCATGGATTGAATTTCAGGTAATGAAAGAATCTATTGAGGATCCAAAATGCAGTTGTTTGGGATTCACAGTTCTTCCTGCTTTGGGGGAAAAAGAGAGATGTGTCGTCTGTGATGCAGTGTTTTTAAAAATTATATTGTGGAAACCCTAGAATTCTTTATAGGCTGAGGATTCCTCAGTGGGAAGTGGGAAACTTCACTGAACAACAACAAAAAGCCAACCCACCAAGCAGTTTACCTTATGGAGAATTGTTGAGTATACAGGTAGCCTTGACTTACAACCGTTAATTTAGTGACCATTCAAAGTTACAACAGAATTGAAAAAAAGGATATGACTGGTTTTCACACTCATGCTTTGCAGCATCCCCATAGTCAAGTGCTCAAAATTCGGGCACTTGGCAACTGGCCTCCCAGGGTCATGTGATCATCATTTGTAAACTTCTGACAAGCAGAATCAATGGGGGAAGCCAGATTCACTTAAAAACTGAATGATTCATTTAACAACTACAGTGATAAAATGAGGTGCAACTTGTTTAACTTCCTTTCTTCCTTAGGAACAGAAATTTTGGGCTCAGTTAAGGTTGTAAGTTTAGGACTACCTGTATGGTTTTATTATTTAAGACTCATCAATTAAGCTGAGTGCCCATTACAAATACTGGATGGGGCTGTAGAATATTGGCAGAAAGCAGTTGACATACTTGTATACTGTAATTTCTTTGGTTTTGAGAGATGGCTAGAGATTATTTTGGTTACTGTTTCCTGTGATGTTAACTCTTCTTTAAATGTACCTGGATATTTTGATTGCATACGATTTCTTTCTAAAAATTTAACTATTTAAAATTGATTTCTCTTTCACTTTCAATTTTACAGAAAAGGTGTGTTGCTTGCTGGATGGGCACTCTTTTTGTTTCTTGCTTACAAAGTGTCCAAAACAGACCGAGAATATCAAGAATACAATCCATATGAAATACTACAGTTAGACCCAGTAAGTAGCACCATTTTTCAGTATTTAAACTAAATTTGACACTAAATATTTCACCAGGGCCCTCAGTGGAATATCACATTCTAAGTCTATGTGTCTTTATTTCACTCCACAAACCTTCAAAAGACCGATTGACTGACACATGGAAAAGGGAGGGAGGGAAATCTGTTCTGCCAGTTGGGTTTGTCTTGTGACAACAGCAGCATTCAGCCAGCAGATAAATGCTTATTTTTTTTATTTGAAAAGTCATGCCCGGTAAGACTACATATAAACGATATATTACATTTTAAGTATTTCATTTTTAAGTTAGTCACATTTTGAACTTTTGACAAAGACTGTTGTTTGAAACTACATTGAATATCTGGCACTATTTCATAAAATGATGTAAATATGCAAACAATATATTTACTAAACAATGCCATTTGGTATTAAAACATAGAAAGGCTTTTCTGGCCTAAAGAAAATGCCTTATAAATTAAATATATTTTTAAAAGTTTTTGTTAAAAAATACCCTCCTATAAAGCAATGATGCATGTCTCTGAAATAATAAATGGCATTCAGTTGTGCCTGTCCATGTCAGGACTTTTTTGCACCTTTGGTTGTAATAGAAGGAAGTAAACCTTTCGTTCTTCTTCTATGTTAACAGGAAATTGGGGAATACTCCAGGATAATAAAAAAGTGGGACAATAGGAAGAAAAAAAGGAAGTTAGCAAACAACAGCACAACAATATAAAAGCATTGGGGTTACTTCATCACATCCTCTTCTGTAATTAGAGGAATCTTCTAGAGAAAAATCTTGTCTGCAAATAGAAAGAAAAGAACTAGTTACAGTTTTACAATGGTTGTGTAATTTAATATGCTGATCACCAAAATTATTTGATAGTGGAAAGCAAACTTGTATATATATTCTTTTTGAAAGTTGAATTGTTTATTTAAATGATACACTTTAAATAGGTACAGGTCAATTGAACTCAGTTTTTCCTATGTTCCTGACTTCCTATATTTATGTAGGAATAGAGGCCATTGAACAATTTGGTAGTTATTTAAACATTTGGAGAATTTTTCATTTTTTAAAAGTTACATTTATACACGCTTTCAAAAAAAATTCTTAATGCTTGGGGCTTACCAGATGGAATTTAAAATTTGCTTTATAAACTTTAAAGAAAGCAGTGTTAAGAACAGCAGATTAGAGGGATCATATCTTAGAATTTCCATTGGATTAGATCTATTTTGGGACTGTCAGAGCTTTAGATGACAGGACTACATGTAGTGTTTACTGAACAACCATTGGTTTACAGAAAATAATAGCTTACAATTGGTCTGCACTTACATGCTTACATCCTTGCAGGGCCCCGGGGGTCACATGATTCAGATCTGATCACTCAAGTACCAACCTGGATTTCTGGCTGTTGCAACAGCCCATGGCTACGTGATCGCGATTTGTGACCTTCCCACCTGGCTTTCGATAAGCAAAGTCAATGGGGAAGCCAGAAGAAGGTTGCAAGTCATAGTCGCATGATGATAATCTTAACAATCATGGCTAAAAGGTTGTAGAATTGAGTGTGGTTGTATGATGCCTCACTTAATGACCATATCACTTAACAGTGATTTTTCTGGTCCCTATTGTCATAAATTGAGTTCTTACCTGAATGCCAGTAATTGAACATGTGGTTGTATCCCTGTTGTTTTACTGGCTTTCTAATGATTATAATAAGTTGTAGCTATCTCAAATGATTGTCTGGGGGTAATGATGAATTGGAAGTGGGATATGAAGCTAAATTTTACAATAATTCAGGCAAGCCAAAGGTCTTTTGTAAGTAGTATTAGTGGTGGGTTGCTCCCAGTTCGCACCGCTTCGCAAGAACCGGTAGTAAAAATTTTTAGTAGTTCAGAGAACCAGTAATAACATTGGCTGGCCATACCCCGGAACCGGTCCCTGGCCTGGTCGCCGCTCGCTTACCCCGCCCACCTCATCAGAGGCTTTTTTTTTTTTTTAACTTTTAAAAGCATTTTTTCTACAACCTCTTCAGCGGAAAAAATGCTTTTAAAAGTAAAAAAAAAGGCCTCTGATGATCCCGCGGCTCAGCTGAGATCATCAGAGGCTTTTCAAAGCATTTTTTCTTCAACCTCTTTAGCTGAAGAGGTGGTAAAAAAAATGCTTTGAAAAGCCTCTGACGATCTCAGCTGAGTTGCCTGATCGGCAGAGGCTTTTCAAAGCATTTTTTTCTGCAACCTTTTAAGGTTGTAGAAAAAATGCTTTTAAAAGTTTAAAAAAAAAAGCCACACCCACCTGGTCACATTACCCCCACCAAGCCATGCCCACAAAATAAGCCACACCCACAGAACCGGTAGTAAAAAATTTTAGAACCCACCCCTGAGTAATATATTATTAGTATATTGTGTTTGAGGTTTGTTGTGAATAATCAGAAACAAGGTATAGTGAGTTCAGTGGAAGTTACTTTCAGGAAAGTGAAGGTGATCACATCCCTTATGTATTTCAAATAATTAATTTGAACCTCTTATTTTAATAGGGTGCAACAGTGTCAGAAATTAAAAAGCAATATCGTTTGTTATCGCTGAAATACCATCCAGATAAAGGTGGCGATGAAGTTATGTTTATGAATATTGCTAAGGCTTATGCAGCGTAAGTTTTTTCTGGTCATGGGGGGGGAATGTTATTGCAAGCAACATGAATATACACTAATACCATTTTCTATATGTTTCAGCCAGTTTCTCTACTTACAGCAGTTGTTACAATACAGAATTGATTTTGTTTTCTTGTATGTATATAAGTTGATTTGTGATTCTGGTTTATAAAACAAGCAAAGATCTAAGGTCTCCTAATCACTTAGAGTAGATTTACAGTCATATAAAGGCTTCAGAGGAAGAGAAAATCAGTTTATTATAAATTATTTTCTCCCTTTTGTCATCGGAAGCGCTCATTTAGACCTCAAAGGAGCCTTTTTATCACTGAGGATAATGCTGTCTCACTCCCATTTCAAACTGTTTTTTCTCCTTTCTTGTCCTATTTGGTTGTTATCAACAGAAGTTATTGTACATCTTGGTGACATTTTTGCATGGTATTCTTGTATGTACACTCTGCCATGTCTGTCTGCTGTGCTATTTTGGTATGGATCATCCTGAGGATTTTCAGTTTTTATGTAGCAAATTTTAAAGCTTTCCTTTGAGCAAGGATAATGTGTACTCTAGAAACAAGCTTTCTAACATAATTGTGCCTCTTATTTTAGTTTAACTGATGAAGAATCTCGAAAAAATTGGGAAGAATACGGCAGCCCTGATGGACCACAGGGTAATTCTATAGTTTATTGTACCAAATCATAATTTATGTAGCATCCTGACTTTTGCTCTGTGATTTATTCTATCAGTAACAGTTTTCATTTTGTATACTATGTTTGTACAGTAATGTGATTTATCTTTATAGCTACGTATTTATGAGGCTCACTTCAATGTCACTCATGCCTCATTCCAATGTTCAGTGAATAGTGATTTACATCAGTGAATCCCGTTATTCAGAGATCCAGCTTCTCAAACCTTTAATATATTTATTGGCTTGTTAGATTACAATCCTACATAGAAATGTTGTCTAATTTGTCTAATTTACATTCTTGCTTCCTACATGGGAATAGCAGTTCTTACATACCTGCAAAATCAGACTGAATTCTGAATATTACCAGGCCAAAATTTCATGTTATGAGAACATTCTGGAGAATTTGGAATATTTCAGTTTCAGTGTCATACCTATTGTAAATTCATAGCTACTGATATTTCCAAACCAATCAACAGCTTTTCCTGGAATAATTATAGAGCTTCCACTCCCTATGGGTCAGTTGAAGGGAAGTTGTTTACATAGGCATGAAAGTCAAGGTTAATGCACTGTTGTGTTGTCCTGAGTTGGCCTCAGCAGCATGATGAACTTGCCATAAAGTTACTCTTGATAGTAAACTATCCAGTTATGCATAATTCATTCAGTTTGTCTATCTTCATCAAGAACATATTTGCAGTTCTTACATCCTTCTAGGGATGTTTCTTTAAAAGTGATGTCACAAGGTTGGCTCTCAAAATCGATGGGATTGTTTTGTTACATAGAAAACAGTTTGTCACCTAACACTTAGCTTGGGTTGTAGTTTTTTACAAATAAATAAAGCTTTTTTTCATGCAGTGGGTACCTCTTGATTTTAAAAGAACCTTGTCCTATCTGTGAAGGAATGTTTATCTTAAGATCCTATGCAGATTAGAGCAAGAAGATTATTCCTTTAGTTAGTTCTGCATCCACGTATGCACCATAGATAGAACTTATTTTTTAAAAATAAGATCCCCCGCTTTTTTTTAAATAAGGGAAAGGTTTGGTTGAAAAGATGTATAATTTACCCAGCTTGTATGACTGAAGAAATGTATATATGTTGACTATATTGCCATATTTTGCAACCTATTTTTCCACGTTTCTTGCAGCTACAAGCTTTGGAATTGCACTGCCAGCTTGGATTGTGGATCAGAAGAATTCTATTTTGGTAAAGCAACTCCCAGTTTGGCTGTATTAAGCTGAAAGCCTTAGTGCAGTTGATAGTCTACAGAGGTTTTTTTTTAAAACAGTCATTTAGAGAAAAATGATAGTCAATTGATGTACGTAAACTGTTGCCAGCTTTGGGAAAGTTTGCATTTAGTCTAGTTCTAGGCTTGCTACAGTTTGCGGCTTGCTTCAAAAAGTGCACTTTGCCTATGATTTAGTTATGGTGAATCCTGGAAGCTTTCTTTTATTACTGTGAGGCAAGGTAATGTAGCAGATTTCAGTGATAATTTGATTTTTCTTACACTGTTCTGCAAGTTTCAGATTTCTGTAAACACATTGAAACACATTCTGTAAACACATTCTGTTCAGATTGCCCTGCTGCAGTGAACATAAAAATACCCGAATTGCTGGGAATCCCCCCCCCCCCGGAGATTTAGTTTGAGGTGTTGTTGCATAATTTCCTGAGGTTACTTAGAATAATCTAATCTGGTGGTTCTCAACCTTGACTCTTTTAAAATGGGTGGATTTCAACTCCCAGAATTCCTCAGTAAACATGCCAGCTGGGAAATTCTGGAAGTCCCCTCATCTTAAAATTGTTAAAATTGCTAAGGTTCAGAAACACTGGTCTTATCTATGGTACTTTTTCTGATTTTTCCCCCCCCCCCCCCCAATCATCATACCAGATATCTTCTCCAGCTAGAGACACTAATATATTTTTGAAAATCAAAATAATGCTGGAAACTAAATACAGCTGTACTGGCAATTGGCTTCTTGTAATATAACATTAAAATGATATTTTAATGTGGAAAAATGTTATTGTAACCTTTGTCATAATTAGTAAGAGTGTTTTTTGTTGTTTATTTTCAGTAGTTAAACATTTGTTAAGAAAAATAGTTTCTCTTTATCAGATTGAAAATCTAGTGAGGAAAATATTGGAGTCTTTTAAAATATGACTTCATTACCTATTTTGTTACTGAAAACTTTCAGTACTTATGTTTTTATACAAAAAGATGTCTCTGCCTATGTGAGCATTTCTGATTTTATTACAATGTTTCTGTTATTTCTTTTGATATTTCCTAGGTTTTGCTGGTTTATGGATTAGCATTTATGGTTATTCTTCCAGTGGTTGTAGTAAGTATTATTTTAAATCAAGGGTGAAAAGTACATTTCAAAAAATATAAAGTATGTACATACCAAATCTTGCTTTCACAAACTCAACCATCCCAATTTATGATGATAATTTTCTGATCTGGCAATTTGCATTTACATATCAGTGTGCCAAATTTGTGTAGCAAATTTTAACTATGTCCATGATTATTCAGTCTCTAAGGTTTCCAATTTTTTGAAGATTGTTCATATGCTATATAGGTTCTATTGCTGGCTAAAGCAAAAGGACTAGAATTGGAATTCTGAGTATTCAGAGATTTTGAATTCATGAGGAAATGTTCTATATTGTTGCACTATGTAGCTTACACCAAAATACAGAAAAATGTGTTTTGGATACTTCTTTAACATACAGATGTTGAAGCATGAAAATAGGTGCTCAGTTCTTTGCTGAGCAGCATTGACTGAAACTATTATGCCTTTTAATGCAAAGGGTTAGCATTTTAAGTTTGCAAGTTTGCATTTTCTTCTTTGCAATCATTTTGTTTTCTGTTTTTCCTGCCCCTTGGCACTGTACTACATGATTTAAAACTTTTATGCAACACAGATTCTTTGTATCTTTCAACTTTTGATATTGTGAAGTCATCTGTCATCTAAACTGCTAGAGTTTCTGTAATTCATTGCTTCCACAGGATTTATGCTCTTGAAATCACAGAGGTTCAAGACTTTAGATAATAGTAGTATTCATTGCATTTATGCATCATTAATACCAATATTTTTGTTTTAAATGACTTAGGGTTCTTGGTGGTATAGATCAATTCGTTACAGTGGAGACCAGATTCTCATCCGTACAACGCAAATTTATACCTATTTTGTTTATAAAACCAGAAATATGGATATGAAAAGTAAGCATTTTAAACCGGTTTAATTCTAAAATATAAATTTGTGCTTCCTTTGTAGTTATTTAGAGATAGACCTGCATTCTGCAGAATGTTTAAACTTTATGCATTAATTTTTCTGTGGTATGCTACTTGATTTCTTGAGAAGAATGTGGGATTAAGTTACTGGGTCTATGAATGGGCTGTAACATTTAAGGTGGAATTGGTTAAATTAAATTTTCTCTTACGCAATTTTCCTCATTCTAGGAAGATTCTTGTGTACATTCTATAAAGCATATTGTGTTGTTATGGGAGAATCAGTTATGAGAACCCTCTTCCTCCAGCACTTGGTACAAGTAGGATACAAAGACATAAGGAACCTTTAACTCCCTCTTTCCTCCAACTCTAAAAGATCCAAAAATATTAGCTTTGTCATGGTGGCTCTAGTGTTATCATAAAATCATCAACCATGTTCTTATAGCCTCCAGGCCCAGCAAGAGAAGGAAGTGTTTCTCACAAACTAAAAAAAGTTGTCCACCCCTGCTTTAGTATATTGAAAAATCATGCTAAAATTCAACATTGTTCTTATTCAAGAACTGCTGCTGCAGTACAATGCCAGTTCTTTCTCATATTTCTGGGACAAGGCCAGCACCTCTTGCCTCCTAACACAATTCTCTGGATAGAACTGTGCATTTAGTTTTTAGTAGCTGCATGATTAGATGGAAAGAATTCTATGATGCTAACATCATAGCTGGCTTTCAAATAATTTTCAGGTTTAAAAATGAAATACGAGATACCAACTGAAGAACGTTAAACAGGCTAAATTATTCACAAGTAAATGTAAAGAAGATACCTATTTATAGGCATTGTAGTGTACTCATACAACTTTATGTTAATGAAGAATAATGGGGTATTAATGTTGCCTGTGAAGACACCATATATTGATATGAAAAGGATGGTAACAGATAAAATTTTAGCTGCTATTTTAATTGTCATCGATGTTGTTTCGTAAATCAATGTACCGCACTTAGCTACCATGGAGAAAGTCCCATTGTAAGATTTCTGAATACCCATTCATGAAAATAGTTGTCTAAGGTTAGTACTTGCTTCTTTAGTGAAAGAGTAATTCTAAGGTATTTGAATTATGCTTAGTTATTTGTTGTTGTTGAGTCTCTGAAGAGAAAGTGGTAAATAAAAATCTTGGGACAGAGTTTGAGAAAGTCTTTTGTATATATTTTAATACTTTTTACATAGTAATACTAAATTTATTTTTTTTTCTCTGCAGGACTTATAATGGTTTTGGCAGGGGCTTCTGAATTTGACCCTCAGTATAATAAAGATGCAACAAGCAGACCTATAGACAATATTCAAATACCCCAGGTTTGTTATTAGTGACATTTTTTCTTTGTGTGTTGGTATCAAATAGTCTTTGACTTGTGACAGGTCACTTAGTGATCATTTGAAGTTATGATGGACCCCCCCCCAAAAGATACTTACAACTTAATTCCAAAGTTCCAGTGATTGTGCACACCCCGTCACATGATCATATTTCAGGTGCTCAGTAACCGGCCCGCTTTTATGGCCATTAGTAGCATCCTACTTCTGGTTTTTTCAGCAAAAATCTCCCATAGTGAACAATGGGTTCCCTTAATTATTGCAAGTTCACTTAATGATGACAAATTCACTTAGCCATGGTGATTTGCTTAACAACTCCACAAAATAAGGTAGAATCAGGTTGGTCATGTGATGATTCACTTTACAATCTTCACGACTTATTACTGTAATGGGCAAGGGTCCATTATGATCATACGTCGAGGGCTACCTGTTTCCTACAGTTGCATTATCTTTTTTTTTCTTCCTCATTTTCAGCTTATCAGAGAAATTGGCAGCATTAATTTGAAGAAAAATGAACCTCCGCTTACTTGTCCGTATAGCTTGAAAGCCAGAGTGCTCTTACTATCTCATCTTGCCAGAATGAAAGTCCCTGAGACACTTGAACAAGGTATTTGCTTTTGGAAACCATGAACAAGGATTTGAAATTATCTAATTGAATTATAAGTTTCATACTTGTTTTGTATGAGCTAGTATTTGTTTTGATGGCAAATAATTTGTTTGCTTTTTTTAAGTTCACAAAAGGAACTCAAGTCTTAAATTGTGCCTTCATCACATACCTATTTTCAGTAATCAGCTACAGAAATTTGAATTGTATCAAAAACTTCAAAGAAGTGGCTGAAATCTGGATGTTTCTTAAACTAGGTTATACTTTGAACTAGTTATTTCTGCAAACCGTTTCCCTCCTGCTTCACACCTGTATGAGAGAAGTTCTCTTGTAAATTATTGGTAATGGACAAACAAGCTATAGTAAATGGTTATTTGATAGCTATTGGGTTGCTCTCAGCAACAGAAAATGATGTTTAATTATGACTTCTGGATTTTTCCCCATTACTTGCTTAGGGAAAGAGTCATGGCAGCATAAGAAATGTCTGTCTGTGCATGCCCAAGAATAGAGTTTATGCATATCTTGGTTTACATTGAGATTTGAGCGTTTGTGTATGTTGATATTGGATGAAACTCTTACCTGTGTCCATCAATCACTGAAAAAAATGTTGCTGGTAGAGAAATTCCCTCTTCCTCTGCATTCTCTCGGGTGCCCCCCCCCCCAAATCTGCTCTAGAGCAGTGGTTATCAACCTGTGGTTCACGGACCCGGGGGGGGGGCGCAGTGTCATCACAGTCGGTCTGCAAAAACTTGAAGAAATGTTATGATTTAAATCTTGAGTTAAGTTTTGGTGGTCCCCGTGGCCATTGTCTGTGGTATTTAAAGGCGGTCCATGGTAAAGAAAAGGTTGAGAACCACTATTCCAGACGATTGAACGATCCTTCAGAGCAGATTTTGAGATAGATTTTTGAGTAAGGTATGTGAAAGGTTAGGGAAGATGGGATGACCATTAGCACAAACAGAAGCTTGCTTGCATGATGCCATTTGGAGCTTTAACACACATGACAGGTGTTTTGGTAGCTATATAATAAGAAAGGAAAGATATAATCATGTATAACATTCACTTTATGCACAGAATTGTTCAGGTTTTTTTCCCCTTTCTTGTAGATCAACAGTTTGTCTTAAAAAAGTGCCCTTCCTTGCTTCAAGAAATTGTAAATGTAATCTGCCAATTAATACTCATGGCACGTAGCAGGGAAGGTAAGTCCTAACATATATTTGTGAATACTACCTCTGTACTGCTAACATACTCTTTCCTGTAACTTTGAACTGAGTAAAATGTTGCACTATAGGGAAAAATGTTTTGAATCAAGGTACATCAAATGGTCTAATTTACAGAATATGTCCAAAATCCAGGACCCATTACTCCCATGGAATTGAAATTTGGCAAATTTTATAAAATGTTGTGTGACATAAAATTATAAAACATTTTATCATATAATACAAAATCTCACAAAACTTTTCCTGTGCTGATGTTTGACTGCACTATACAGTTCAGCATGGGCTATTTTAAAGGTAGATACATTTTTGGATGTATCACAGGTTTTCCATGGAAGGCATTGTTGAAAGAATTGAGAAATGTGGTAAGAAAATATCTCTGAAAGGATAACCCAAGGGTTCATGTTTTGTCTAGTAATATTTAAAATCCTATAACCTTTCTATGGAAACAGGTAACATGTAAAGGAGGAGTAACATCGTACTGGTAGTTCTCAACATACAACCATTCATTTAGTGACTGTTTGAAGTTAGAACAAAGTTACACTGAAAAAAGTGGCTTATGATTGTTTTTGACACAACCCTTACAGCATCCCTATGGCTACGTGATCAAATTCAGGCGCTGGGCAACTGGCATGTGTTCAGTGATGGTTGCAATGTCCTAGGATCATGTGATCCCCTTTTGCAACCTTCTGATAAGCAAAGCCAATGGGGAAGCCATATTTACTTAGCAAACATATCACTACCTTAACAGCTGCAGTGCTCACTTAACAACTGTGGCAAGAAATATCGTAAAATGAGGCAAAATTCATTTAATTTCGCTTCACATTTGCTTAGCAATGGAAATTTTGGACTCAATTGTGGTCACAAGTCGAGGATTGCCTGTATTTATTTTAACTGTCAGGGTTTACGAGTTGATACATTTAGGCAGTCAAACTAGAACAAGAGATCTGATAGTAATAAGGTTATTTCTTCTCTGAGTCCATTTTCCATTTTCACTAAAGTAGCTAGTACTACAGTTCTGGGGTCAGAGGTGGCATTAAGCCAGTTCACCCGAACCGGTAGCGGAAATTGTGGGTTGGCCTGCTCCCCCGCCCCGGCTCTATGTCCTATTTAGGGATATTTTTTAGGCCAAGCCCATTTGTCAGTGAATGACAAATTGTTCAGTGACCATTTGATGTTGCAATGATGTTGAAGGAGTGGTGGTTACGGCTAGTCCTTGAAACTGATATTGCAATGATGCTGAATGAGTGGTGGTTAAGACTAGATCTTGAAATTGACATTGCAAAGATGCTGAAGGAGTGGGTGGTTATGACTGGTCCTTGAAATTCTGGCAGTCTTGGCACTCCTACAGTCACTTGATCCTGATGTGGGTGCTTGGCAACTGGCTGGCACATACGATGGTTGCAGCGTCATATGATCGTGATGTGCAATCTTCCCTGCTGCCTTCCTGCAAACTGAGTCAATGGGGAAGCTAGCAGGGAAGGTCGCAAGTTGCTTGGGTAAGCCTCCCCTAGCCACATTGGACACCCACACAACCTCACACTCTCTCTCTGAACCTCGCCCTTGTGCTGCACCTCCAGGCCAATCATGCATCTTCCTCCGGGCCCCACTGCACTCATGCCATCTCTTCTCGGCCACTTGCCCACTCGTCCTGGTCACTTGCTTTCTCTCACGCGCTTGGCAGCAGCCTCTCCCCTTCTCCGCTGACTTGTTTGTGAGTTGCCTGGGGTTTTCAATTTTCTGCCAGCTTGCCCGCTGACTCTGGTTGTTGGCAGGAAGTTGCAAGGAGGTGATAGCTTAACGATGCACACTCCTTGCTTAACTACAAGTAGTGTGGTCACATGACATTGTGCTTTATGACTTCATTGCTTAGTTGTGGAAATTTTGGTACCCATTACCATTGTAATTTGAGGACTACCTGTACTGTATATTGCTAATTAATATTGACAATTGAATATAAATATTTCCCTGTGTTTCTCCCTCAGAAAGAGAATTTCGTGCTCCCTCATTGGCTTCTTTGGAAAACTGCATGAAACTTTGTCAGATGACCGTCCAAGGGCTTCAGCAGTTTAAGTCTCCACTCCTTCAACTCCCACATATTGAAGAAGATAATCTCAGAAGGGTGTCTAATCATAAAAAGGTAGAAGAAATTGAGATGATCTGTAGCTTCTTAGAACTCATTTGATCTGACCACATTCTGGAAAATGTTTATTCTTTGAGACACTTGATTGTTTGGTGTAATAGTTATGGAACTGGCCTGGAAACTAGGAGAGTATGAGTTCTAGTCCCACTTTAGGCATGAATGCCAGCTGGGTGACCTTGGGCCAGTCATACACTTTCAGCACAATCCATCTCACAAGGTTGTTACTGTGGGGAAAATAGGAACATTATGTATATTTGCTGCCTTGACTTATAAAATAAAAAGTTAGGATAAAAACAAACAAACAAATGCATACAGAATTTTGTCGAGAAGGATTATATTTCAAAGTAATAAAAAAAAGTCTACAATAACTGTTGGCCCAAATCCCCAAAAAGCAAACAGCTGCAGGTAATCCTCAATTTAAGACCACAATGGAGCCTGGAATTTTGGTTGCAAATTGTTGTGGTTGTAAGTTGAAGCAAGTTTGCAGACTTGATTTTATGACTGTTCTTATGACATTCATCGTTGTTGTTAAATCAAGTGGTTGTTTGGTGAAACAATTGGTTGTTAAATGAATCCAGCATATCCAATGGGGCAGTTTTTGCCGTTTTCTGCTGGAAACTGGCAAAAAAATGTCACAAATTTGTCATGCCACTGTGGGATGTTGCAACTGATTGTAAATGCAAGCCAGTTGCAAAGTGCCTGAACTGCAATTCTCTCTCTCTCTCTCCCTTCCCCCTCCCTTTCTCCCTCTTTCTCCCCTCTCCCCCTCCCCATCTGTGTGTGTGTGAGAGAGAGAGAGAGAGGAAAAGAGAGAGAGAAGAGAGACAGTCATAACTTTGAGATGATGTAAATAGCTTTTTTGTAGTTCATCCTTAAGCAATCTGTCATAAGTCTAGGACTACCTGTACTTGTTAAGCGTCTCAGAGCTACTAATCACTCATTCTGATAAAACTATCACCAGCCACATGACATTAACCTGACTTTGAATGCTAGAATGCTACTTACTGCTGCACAGCCTTTTATAGTGCAAATTTACTGTCACCTGATGATGCTTAGCTTTCTGTTTTTTAGCAAATGGCATTTCTGAGTAGATGGAAAGGTGGAATATAAAGTAGATAGAAGTTTGACAATTTGAGGCTAGTTATTGAGTTGACTAGGGGAGCGTGGATAGGAAAAAGGAAGCGATATTCATTTCCTACCTTCCTGTCTCCTCTCTCGTTTGATCTCAGTGATTATCCAGTTGATCTCTATGTTTAATTAATTAAACATTGCTCCGTTTCCAGAGAATCACATATAGCGATTCAACATATTTTGCAATGTTTTTGTAATAATTAAAGTAAAGGCAAACTTGATGTTTGATACAGCTCATGTTCTTGATCATTCATGTCTAATACTTAGAAATGTATGTTTTGTTTTCCTTAATGAAAACAGTACAAAATTAAATCTATCCAAGACTTGGTGAGTTTGAAAGCTTCAGATCGTCACAATTTACTTCACTTTCTTGAAGATGAAAAATATGAAGAAGTTATGGCTGTCCTTGGCAGTTTTCCACATATCATCATGGATATAAAACCCCAGGGTAGGTGGTGTGTGCTGTCTTAGTGAGTTGATCAGGATTTCTATTATCAAATTAATGCTATATATTTAATAGTAATAGTGAATTTACACTGTTAATCCCTTAGGAATTTTAAGATCTCTGGCATTGGCTGTCTTAGATTTGAGGGTCAAATAAAGAGGACATAATAAGCTTCCATGTTGACAGGTTAATATGTATAAGTCTGGACAAGGGCTGTGAAAAATGTTTCAAGGTTGGAATTTCCCAAATTGCCCTATTTGCAAATATGAAACCACTCTGGAACAGGCTACTCCAAGCACTGCAGAAGAGTTTCAAGCTTGAAAAAGCTATTCTCAGTATAAAATGCTTCCTAGCTGATGGTTTTCAAGCTTGAATCGTTTAGAACAGGGGTGTCAAACTTCTGTCATCACAGCAGCGTCACGTGACATATCACAACTCCCTCCCCCCTTCGTGAAACTGGGCGTGCCCAGTGTGTGATGCATCCAGCCTGTAGGCCGCAAGTTTGATATCCCTGATTTAGGAGGATATTAAGACAACAGTTTTGTTTTTGAAATGAGAATGTTGTGAAATTTCATATTCAAAATGGTTCAGAATGAAATATATTCTGCAACTGTGATGGAAGACCGCAGTTTACTAAGTGTTTCTCATATAAATCATGACGAATTTTGACACAGCCATGTTCAGTTAATGCTAGCTGGTGTGTAAACAACCTCTTGCCTGAGCTGTTTTCAGGAATAGACTGAATTAATACCAGCCTGATATAGATTATAAATTAGTCATACATAGCATTGCATTTGTAGTAATTCACTGCTTGTACACAGATTTTAAGTAGAAACCTTAAACATTTTTCTGGGTCTTATTTTCTGTTCGTGTTCCTGGGTTTGTTTACTTTTCTGAGTTTTTGAACACTCATTGGGGGATGGATATGTACAGTATGTACAGACATGCACACATACCCCTGTTTTCATAATGCATTTTTCCCCCTACTAGGAAGAAACAAGGATTCATTGTTTCCCAGAATTAACGTATCAAATTTTATTTGATTTTTAAAAATGTACCCATTAAAATAGGCTTGGTTGATCTAAATGGGCAGTAGTCATTCAATTCATTTTTAAACCTAAGTACATATGAAGCTGTAGATGTTGATCAGTATCACTTGAGGATACAGTCCCTTTTACTTGTTAAAGAGTTCCTGTGAGGAAATTTGATAATTTTAAAAAGAAATTAGAACATCTTTCTTTTTCCTTAATCCATTAAACCTGTTTACCTTTGCTTAATTGAAGCTCTTACTATTACTTTTTAAAGATTTGTTTTTAAAGAAGTGGTTTGATTTTCTAAACAGTTAAATTAAGGAATTCAGTGTGATCTCTAACTCCATGCTGCCCTTTCCACTTATGTGATTTGATGGGTTACCTTTGTTTTATTTTACTATTCATTTGCAACCTAGACCATTATTCAGACCAGCCTGTCCCAACGTGTTTCCCTTCAGATATGTTGGATTTTTTTAATCTGATGCCAGTTTATATGGCAGATATAATCAATGCAGCAGTCCTGTACATCTGGCAGTCATCAGATGATGCCAGGGAGATACAGTACTAAAAATACAGTTTTAGATTCCTTTGTTATTTTTTTTTTATATTATACATTGAGCTATCTAAAGTCCTTTAGTTCCAAAATAGGAGTGCACATAACAATTTGAATTCAAAATGTTTGGAATTTGAAATACCCGGCTCAAGTATGAAACACCACGTTTTGAATGCAAAACTGTTTTGAGTGCAAAGCAACTATTTCAAGACTGAAAACAGAGATGGTTCAAATATGATATAGTCCAGATTTGGAACATTTTACACACCTTTATTCAAAAGTATGCATTTTAAACTTTTTAAAAAGAGGATTCTGTGCAGAGTCTTTGAAGTAGAAATTGAATATATACAAATTTGTCTTTGAGCAGCTATCAAAAGCCTCTCTTCTTATATAGTCTGGCATTCTTCCATTGTCCTTCAATCTGCAGCTGCTTGTGATGTATCTTTAAGGTCCTTTGAGTTTTATCATTAAATGAGATGGTTGGATAAAATCCAGATGAGAGCTCAAGCTGCAAAAAATTAGCTTTTTTGAGTCATGCATTTAAAAGTTGAGTAAAACCTATTCACAAGAAAGCTATATAATTGGGGAACCTTTATTTCAGTTTTGGATGATGAAGACAGTAATAACATCACTGTAGGATCGCTAGTCACAGTTTTGGTCACCTTGACAAGACAGACAATGGCAGTAAGTATTTATATTGATACGCACTGTTCTTGGGTTTATTTATACTATATCCGGTCATATCCCTGAATGCATCAAGAAGCAAACTGCACAAGGCTGTGGAATTCCCTATGACCTCAGTTCATGCCAAAATCCCCACTTGTGGCTTTTTTATGTGGTATATGAAGGGAAACTTCTGAATTTGAAACCCTCTACTTCAAATTAGATATACTTACTGATTACAGGATTTGTTCTAGATCCCAGTCTAATGACTCAGAAAACAGCTCAATCTGATTTGTGCCAAATCTGAAGCTTTGTTTCGATGGACAAGAATTGGAAATATATAAATAATTATAATAGACAAATATATTATGCCATATAGGGACAACTAGGGCCCCAAATATCATCTGATTCTGTTAAAATGTAAAACAGAATCTAATGTTATTTGTGGCCTGGTTGTCCCTTCCAGATAGAATAATCCTGCAATCAAGTTTCCAGTAAATTGTTTGGGGAGCACTTAATAATTTAGTCCTTAGCTGTTCTTAAAAAGTTCCCCCACCCCATCTGTCTTAAGTATTTCTGGGTCAGTTTTTATGGAACCATGAACTGTGGTTTGATAATCTGCCATAGTTCAACAGGGCACAAATGCAGCTTTTGTGTTATCAAAGGTGATTTGGGATGGGGAGCGACCTTCGGTATCCAAGAAAAAAATTATAGGTACTTGTGCTAAATAGGTAATTCAATGCTAGGTAAAGAAACTTCTCCTGATTAAAAAGAGAGAGACAGTTTTTTTGCCTCTCCCTTACAGCTCACATCTCTAAAATGTTTTTTGCTTAGCATTAGAACAAAAGATTTTACATTCACTTTTCACTTTGTGAAAGTGGATACTGTTAATGCCTTTTTGGAAATGCAGATAACTACAAGAAGGATACACAGTATTGTGCTTCTTGACTTTTTAAATGAAATAATCTTTCTGTACCTTTTTTTAATAGCATAGTTTGCAGATGTGTGTTTATCAGCTGGGAGATGTAACACTCATTCATCTTCACATATGGTCAAAAGGTAGATCTCTGGATGATTTATAGTAAATCTGCCTGTATGATATCCTTGCAGTTCCTTTACAACAGTGATAATGAAGATATTTTCTCCTTCATTTTAAATTAGACTAAAGAAAGAAAGAAAAAGAAGAAAGAAATTTATATTGCCCAGAGTCACCTTATAAAAGAGATGGGCAGCATAAAAATTCAATAAATATGTAAAAAGAACTGCAAATGTATGTCTCAAAGATGCTCTCTCAAAAGACACCTTTGAGACAATTATGACGAAGATGACTGAGAATCTCCACAGACAACTGCAAATGTAGTTCTGGCATTTCAGACCAACTCTTAATGTAAGCCATATGCACACACGGTTCCTTAATTCTTCCATTTGCATATTTGCTTTCAACAGTTATTTACAATTAAATTTAAAAATATCTTGTAGAAAGCCTGTAGTCTTTCCACCAATTGATTAAAATTTCCCTCTATTAATAACTGGATTCTTCATCTTGAGAAATACGAACCAATGTTTCACTTTCTGTTCATTATTAATGTTTAATTGATCAGTTTTTCATGTTGATACAGAGAGACTAAGGTAATTTATTTCTCCCTTTATTCAGGAAGTGTTTGAGAAAGAACAGTCAACCTGTTCAGCTGAAGAACAGCCTGCAGAGGATGGCGTAAGTTCAAAACATAGGTGTGGATGGTTGTGTTGTAATTCCTTGAAGTTCGTTTAGTAACCGTCAAGGTTTTCTCTTTGAAATGAGTCCTGTTACTAAATTGCAAGATTGCCAAATAACTTATGATCATTTTAACCCTTGGAAGGTAAAACCATTTGGAAGGTTAATTTAATCTGATTTCTGTGCTTACAACAGGCGGTCCCCTACCTTTTTGGTACCAACGACTGGTTTCGTGGAATTACAATTTTTCTACTAACCGGGGTGGGGGAATAGTTTTGGTTCGCTCCCTGCTCTGTCACTCACCTTCACCTATGCAGATCAGTTCCTAGCAGGCTATGGATTGGTACTGGTCTGTAGCCTGGCAGTTGGGGACTCCTGGTTTATAACATAAACTTTGTGTAAAGTATTCAGCGGCTTTTGTTGAGAAGATAACAAACATACGTGAAATGATAGCCAGGTGGGGCTTTGCTGGTGTTGTATTTGTGATAACTGTGAGCCAACTTCTGTAGAGCCAGCTGTTCCCTCTAGAGATGCCCATAGATATTAATGGAGCCCTGGTCAGTTGCTTTTATCCACCAATGCCTGATATTAAAAGGTCTGCGTTAATTTCTGTATACTTAAAGCACTTGGGTGGCTCAAGGACTGAAGTGTAACCATTTTAAATTATTACCTTTGCAGCAAGGAGACCTTAATAAATCGAAGAATAAAGGATGGCAGCAGAAGAACAAAGGAGCAAAGAAGACTTCCAAATCAAAGAAGAAAAAACTTGTGAAAAAGAAGCCAGCTCCTGCTCCTTTGATACAAACAAAGCAGCTGAAGCAAAAACAAGCTAATGGGGTTGCTGGGAATGTATGTGTCAATCGAAATAGATTGGAATTTTTGTTTTTAGGGGTGTTGAAGTACTTAAATTTCAGAGAAACTGTGGACCAGTTTGTAGTTTAATGAAAAATGGAGAACAATACCAAGAAAAATGATGTGTGGATTGTAAGATGCAAAATAATTTGATTTCTATGAGACCTAACACCTCTGTTTAGAACTCATAGACTAAATTTCATATTGGTTAATTGTAGCCTGTAGAATACAGTAGCTGAGCATTATGAAATCCTGATAAGTAATGAAGGGAAGAGGTTCTTTATGCTATAGCATATCCTTCCTGTTTTAAGTACAGTATCATTTGGTAGCGTGCCTTTATTTTTATTTTATTTTATTTTTCAATAAGAGAATGTCTTAAATTTTGCTATAGGTGATTATCCAAAGCAAGCTGAGGAAGAGGCTAATAAAGACGACATATTCATGAGTTGAAATAATCTAATACAGGGGTGTCAAACTCAATTTTATTGAGGGCCACATCAGTGTTGTGTTTGACCTTGGGGGGCCGGGGTGGGCATGGCAGGATGGGCATGGCCAGCTCGACATCACTTGTGTCAGGTGCCCCTGTGGTGGTCCCAAACTCCATTTTTGACTGCGACGGCCTCCTGGAACCCTCTGCCAGCGAAAATGGAGCTTGGGAGGGCTGCCTGTGGCCTTCGCGAGCTCCATTTTTGGCTGCAATGTCCTCCTGCAACTGTATGCAGCCCTCCTGAGCTCCATTTTTGCTCACAGATGCATCGCGGACTGGTCCTTTGCTGTTTCCAAGGCAGCCCCGCAGGCCAGATCTAAGCATCCCATGGGCTGGATCCGGCCCCCAGGCCTTGAGTTTGCCACCCCTGATCTAATAGATCAAAGGCAAAGGATCCTTTGACTCAAGTTCACCTCTTGGTGATTGCGTAGACACATCTGTATTGTTGCTAGTAAAAGAACATGGAGGTAGTTTGACACTGGCTTCTTCTGGGTTGTTGTTTGTATCTGCATCCTAGGACTAATCAGGTTTGATCCTGCTTAGATTTTATAATTGATCAATCAACATTGGCTACAATTTGCCGCCTGTGATAAATTAGTGTTGTGAGCATGTCTGAATGTAAAATTACCCTTTTTAAATTTAGGAAATTGTCAAGGATGATGATTACGATGTTTCTGATAAAGGAAGTGAATCTGAAGAAGATGACACCAATCGGGAATCATTAAGTGAGAAAGATGATGGCAGTGACCGAGACTCTGACAGAGAACCAGATGAAAAGCAAAGCAAGGATGACGAAGCTGTAAGATTTATTTTTAAAAATTTGTTATTATTATTTTTATAACAATATAACAATACAAGACATACAACATTTATATGAATACTCTTTTTACAGCTATTTCGTGATGGTCTTTCTTTGTTATTTACAATTTAGAAAGATTTATTTTTATTACCTGTTGGAGAAATACCAGTATGGTCATTTAATCTAACCCAAAACCTTTCCTACGATAAGACATTTTCATCAGTCCATTCAGTGGGGGTAAAGGGAGGGATAGTATTTTGTAGTTAGTAAAACTAAGTAAAACACAGAATTGGAAAGTTTTTGTAAAGTATATGAGCTTCCTGTTTCTCTCTAACATGTCTACTAATATAGTAAACCATCCAAATGTTTTTATTCATACAATGAAATTGGTAAAATGCATTTAAAAATTGGTAGTTCTTTTCCTTTCCAAATTATTATTAAGATACAAATGCATTCCTATTTTAATTTACATACTCTTCTCAATCTGCAGAAAAGTTATTTTCTTGAGAAAGACACAAATAAACAGAATATTTTTTCTTTTTCTACTAGGAGTGGCAAGAATTACAACAGAGTATACAACGAAAAGAACGGGCTCTCTTGGAAACCAAGTCAAAAATAACTCATCCTGTTTACACTCTCTACTTTCCTGAGGTCAGCAAAAAGATAGCTAAATATGCTTGAGATGAACTGAGATGAAGTGAATGCAAAATTTCAGAATAGTTTCTATTTGGGCCTTAAACATTTAATTCCTCAGTAATACCTTCTGAAAAGCAAGGTAGATTTTGAGTCTTAACTAGCATAGTGCTTGAAATTGTGCAAAACCTGTGGCTGTTCTTATGCCCAGTTATGCTGTTTTATGCATTTCCATATTCACTAGAATGTGGAAGAACATTATACTGAGAGTATACCCAGTATATTTTGTTAAGATTAAAGAAGATGCTCTAACCTGTCAAGTTTCCCATCATTTAATGTTGCTTTGTTATTTTTTTAGTATTCTATTTTGTGTTTTTGGCAGAATATTAAACTAGATTTTAACAATATATCCTAGTTCGTGATCATGAGCTAATATAAATAATCCACATAGTTCATCTGTTTTTGTTCCTCTGTTCTCGTAAGCATCTAAATACTGAAAGGAGGAGGAATTTGTTATAAAATGTGAACCTAAATATATGGCTACTTTTGAAGAAATAATGATTGCATAAACTGCTTTAAATCAGGCTAGGGTCTTGCTATTTTGGATGATTCTTTTTTGAATCGTGTGTAGTGCCTTTCCCTTCCTGGTTTCTTTATCTATAGTTGTAAAGTCACAGCGCATAGGCTGTGTGCAGTGGTTGGTAGACCATTCACATTTATTTATATAAATTAGATGAATTTTTATTTAATCAGTCATTAAAATAAAGAAGATAGTTCTAATGTTCAACTTGTCACATGTGTATATTGATTCCCTGGCATGACTCCATTTAGTGCCCTAAGAACATTGCCCACTTGACGGGTGCAGATCCATTTTAACCCAACATATGCTTTGATCTTTAAAGTTTTACTTTCTGTAATACAATTGGTACCTTCACCAAGAAAAGTTTTACTTTGTTGTAATGCAATTTCTACCTATGTAGGGTCACATGTCTGATACCTGGAACCATGTTATGCATTTTTTCAAAATTATGACTAATCATTCCATTCAGCCTATTTCCATGACTATTGGAAGTTGATGTTGCCCTGTTGAGTTTTGCTTCAGACAAAATAGAAAGAAACAACTAGGACCCTATGAGAAAACATTGTAGTACATTTTCATTCCTTAACACCGGCACATCTACCGTGTTTCTCAGAAAATAAGACTGAGTTTTATTTTCTTTTAGACTTGAAAATAAGCATCTGGGCTTATTTTCGAGGCGGTCTTACTTTTTTTGAGGTGCAGCAGGCCAGACTCAGTGAGCTGTACATGCCGTGGACGCACCATATCATTCCGAATCTTCAGCATTCAGAATGGAGGCTTTTTGGTGAACGGGAGGAAAATGGGGAGGCGGTTTTTCCTGCCTGCCATCCTTCCCTCAGTCTGTGCTGAGCTTGAGGAATGGATGACAGGCAGGAAAATTCCCCTCCCCATTTTCCTCCAGTCTGTCAAAAAGCTTCCATTCCAAGGCTTTTTGGAGAGCCTCCCAGAAAGAGGGAAAAAGCCTCCCAAAAGAGCCTCCCCAAAAAAGAGAAAAAGCGAAGCAGCTGGCCACGGAGCTGCCGGCTTCGGGGAAGCGGCCCAACAAGCAGAAGCGCTGCGCCCAGAAAGAGAAGGGCAAAAGCGGTATTTGCACTGCCCCAAGAGGCCAACGGGCTGCAGCCGGACAGTTGCTCCACCCGTGCCACCACTCATGCTGGCCATGCCCATCCCCCCTGCTTATTTTTGGGATGGGGTAATATTCGGCCCATCCCCCAAAAATTAGGGTTGGGATTATTATTGGGGTGGGTCGTGTTTTCAGAGAAACACAGTAGTTAGGATGTCAGATTCTGTGTTCTAATCCAGAATGTGGCTCAAGCCTGGCAATTGTCTTCACTTCCATTTCCAGATGTATTCAGCATTCCACAATAACAGAATCTTGCACTGGGTGGAGTTTTAAATAGGTTAATCCTAAGGGCATATCCCAATGCTTACATCCTATGATATTATCTGTCATCCCCCCGCCTCCGCCAAAGAGTAATGTGTGCCTGAAATCTTTGAGCCTTTGGCCAAAGTTTGCTTTGTATGAGATGGTGTAACAGTGAAGCTAACAGAACTTAATTTGACTGTTTCTCTTGGAATGAGCCAATTTACAGTTTCTGTTCCAAAACTTCAGTTACAGATTTGGTTGATGAAAATCACATCAGGATTGTGATCTTTGCTGTCTCTTTCTTCCCTCTCTTTAATAGGAAAAACAGGAGTGGTGGTGGCTATATATAGCAGATAGGAAGGAGCAAACACTAATATCAATGCCATATCACGTGTGTACACTAAAAGACCAAGAAGAGGTGCAGTATTTCATTTCTTTCTTTTTTTAAAAATAAATTTTATTAATTTTCTATTTATTACATTTCTTAGTGCTTAATAAACATTGTGTTGTTTGGGTATTTAAATTGCTTAGCAATACAAATTCCCTTCTTACTCTCCACCCCTTTTTCCCAACCATTGGTAAAATAAGTTCCATGTTTGATAATATTCTGTGTCTTCTTTTTGTTTGATTTTGAATGTAAGTCTATCCATTTCTGCACAATCTAATATCCTCTTAAATATCTCTTCATCTTGTGGTATTTCTTCATTTTTCCAATATTGTGAAAAAATAATCCTTGCTGCTGTTAGTATTTCATTTATTTCTGATTTTTAAAAACTGGGATGGCTTGGTGGTTTTTTGGGCTCTTTTTGGCTGATAAAAGTAGGCAATATGGAGCTACAGTCAGGTCCAGAAATATTGGGACATCGACACAATTCTAACATCTTTGGCTCTATACACCACCACAATGGAGTTGGAATGAAACAAACACAATGTGCATTAACTGCAGACTGTCAGCTTTAATTTGAGGGTATGTACATCCAACTCAGGTGAATGGTGTAGGACAGCAGTTTGCATATATGCCTCCCACTTGTTAAGGGACCAAAAGTAATGGGACAGAATAATAATCATAAATCAAACTTTCCCTTCTTAATACTTGGTTGCAAATCCTTTGCAGTCAATCACAGCCTGAAGTCTGGAACACATAGACATCACCAGACGCTGGGTTTCATCCCTGGTGATGCTTTGCCAGGCCTCTACTGCAACTGTCTTCAGTTCCTGCTTGTTCTTGGGGCATTTTCCCTTCAGTTTTGTCTTCAGCAAGTGAAATGCATGCTCAATGGGATTCAGGTCAAGTGATTGACTTGGCCATTGCATAACATTCCACTTCTGTCCCTTCAAAAATTCTTTGGTTGCTTTTGCAGTATGCTTTGGGTCATTGTCCATCTGCACTGTGAAGTGCCGTCCAATGAGTTCTGCAGCATTTGGCTGAATGTGAGCAGATAATATTGCCCAAAACTCTTCAGAATTCATCCTGCTGCTTTTGTTAGCAGTCACATCATCAATAAATACAAGAGAACCAGTTCCATTGGCAGCCATACATGCCCACGCCATGACACTACCACCACCATGCTTCACTGATGAGGTGGTATGCTTAGGATCATGAGCAATTCCTTTCCTTCTCCATACTCTTCTCTTCCCATCACTCTGGTACAAGTTGATCTTGGTCTCATCTGTCCATAGGATCTTGTTCCAGAACTGTGAAGGCTTTGTTAGATGTTGTTTGGCAAACTAATCTGGCCTTCCTGTTTTTGAAGCTCACCAATCTTGTGGTGAACCCTCTGTATTCACTCTGGTGAAGTCTTCTCTTGATTGTTGACTTTGACACACATACACCTAACTCCTGGAGAGTATTCTTGATCTGGCCAACTGTTGTGAAGGGTGTTTTCTTCACCAGGAAAAGAATTCTTCGGTCATCCACCACACTTGTTTTCCGTGGTCTCCCAGGTCTTTTGGTGTTGCTGAGCTCAACGGTGCATTCCTTCTTTTTGAGAATGTTTCAAACAGTTGTTTTGGCCATGCCTAATGTTCTTGCTATCTCTCTGATGGGTTTGTTTTGTTTCTTCAGCCTAATGATGGCTTGCTTCACTGATAGGGACAGCTCTTTGGATCTCATCTTGAGAGTTGACAGCAACAGATTCCAAATGCAAATAGCACACTTGAAATGAACTCTGGGCCTTTTATCTGCACATTGTAATTGGGGTAATGAGGGAATATCACACACCTGGCCATGGAACAGCTGAGAAGCCAATTGTCCCATTACTTTTGGTCCCTTAACAGGTGGGAGGCACATATACAAACTGCTGTAAGTCCTACACCGTTCACCTGAGTTGGATGTACATACCCTCAAATTAAAGCTGACAGTCTGCAGTTAACGCACATTGTGTTTGTTTCATTCCAACTCCATTGTGGTGGTGTATAGAGCCAAAGATGTTAGAATTGTGTCGATGTCCCAATATTTCTGGACCTGACTGTATGTGTTGTATGGTCTGTTGTCCCCATCTCACTCCTATTCCTTCTTTGGATCTCAATTATTGTCTCAGCTTCTGCTTTTCCTAGGGTCTAGACCAATGTTTCTCAATCTCAACGAGTTGAAGACCTGTTGAAGACCAGCCAATTTAGCTGGCTGGGGAATTCTGGGAATTGAAGTTCACAGGTCTTCAACTCGCTGAGATTGAGAAACACTGGTCTAGACCCTGCCTGACTCATAGCTTCTCATTCAGCAAAACCTGCTTAGCCAGTACTGACAGAGAAATTAGACAGTCATTCTAAGGAAGACGTTTTTCCTTCTGCAGGCTTTAGCTGCTGCATAAGAAAAGCCTAATTTAATGTTGTGTAATGTTAAAGTGTTTGATGAGGAGCATTGAGAAATTAGGTATTTTATACTAACAGATCACCTGGAATTTGTTGTAATTGGAGAACAACTATACAGTTGTAGCATATTTGATATTCAGTGCTGTCAGTAAATTTTTTTCAAGCATTTTTTTTGACCATAAAAAGATTTTTCCTCCGTTCTCGCTAAATTTCAGAAAGTGGATTTGTTAAGCCACAGTACATAGCTCATTGAATATAATCAATTCAGCACTAGAAAGATTGAAGCCTAGCACTTTCTAAAGTTGTATGCTGTTTGTTTTACTGAAGTCATTTCATTGTTCTGCTTTTATAACTTGAGCTGAGTGATTACATGTATTTCCAGGTAGAACTAAAATTTCCTGCACCGGGTAAACCTGGAAACTACCAATATACCGTTTATTTAAGATCGGATTCCTACATGGGCTTGGATCAGATTAAACCATTAAAGGTAGGTTTCTCACACAGATGGGTTTGATGGAGAGGATTCTACAAGTTTAGTAGAACTTGTGTTGCTGTATACCTCTTGTATCTACAAATTGTCCTGTACAAGTAGTCTTCAATTTGTGATTTGTGGCTTAATGACAGTTTGAAGTTATGATGAACCTTCCCAAAGCTACATATGACCCAGTTTTCAAGTTCTGACGCTCCCCTACCCTGTGATCACATAATTGCATTTTGGGTACTTGGCAACCAGCTGCGGAGTCCTGCAGTCATATGACCATTTACACTGTGGGTTTTGGCCAGAAACTGGTGTTTTATTTCACGTTTCTGGTGAAAAATACCCTACTTAACTGTGATTTTAACTCGACTGTGATTTTCACTTAGCATTGTGACATTTGCTTAATTATGACTTTTAAAAAAAAAAAAGGTTATAAAATTGGTCATAGTCACATGATGACCTACTGGGATGGTTTATGACCATAATTCCATGTTGTAAGTAGAGGGCTATAATGCTGAGTTTATTTGAATATTTTGATTGGAAAAAAATTAAGCTAAAAACTTAAGAGCAAGGACTGAAAAATCTTAATTTGTGAGGCAGGGATCATCAATATAATACCAGCAATGTAAGTCATCTGCAGTGTGTGCACACATAGCATTGAATTCCTGTTTGATAATAAAGGTGGCTGGAATAAGACAAAGTGCCTGTAATCCTCAATTTACAACCATTAATTCAACAACTGTTTGAAGTCACAATGGCATTGAATAAAATTATGACTGGTCCTCACACTTATGACCATTGCAGTATCCCTATGGTCAAGTGTTCAGAATTAGAGCATATTTATATCAGCTGTAGTGCCCCAGGTCATGTGATCTCTATTGATGGCCTTCCCAAGGGGCCTCCGACAAGCAGAGTCAATAGGGGAAATCAGATTCCCTTAACGACTGCATGATTCACTTAACGGCTGCAGTGATTCACAATCTCCATGGCAAAAAAGGTCATAAAATGAGACATGACTCACTCAGTAACCGCTTAACATTGCTTAACAATGGAAATTCTAGTCCCGATTGTGGTCGTAAGTAGAGAAATACCTGTAGCTAAATCTTTCAAGACTTCTTGTCTGAGAACAGCCATTTTAAACATTTTGGTACCTGTGACATTGAGCAGCTCTGCTTAAGGAAATAAGTACCCACATTAAATAATGGTCTTCTGAGGGATAAGGATTTTTTTCTGGGTATTTTGACCCATAAATATATAAGCTATGCCTGATAAACGATTAATGTGGAATCTTGCAGAGGATGGAGAACAACTTGCTTATTATATATGCAAAATATTTTGCAGCTTACTCTTTACTTTAGAGTGCTCTTGAATTAATCTATAATATTATGTAGATAAACTTTAATAACTTCCCTCAAATGATAACATTTAAATTATATTTTCCCCCTTCCTGCTTCCCTCCCTTCTCCAATCACTTGAACTCTCTGCAGCTGGAAGTTCATGAAGCTAAACCTGTGCCAGAAAATCATCCACAGTGGGATACAGCAATAGAGGGAGATGAAGACCAGGAAGACAGTGAAGGTTTTGAAGACAGTTTTGAGGAAGAAGAAGAGGAGGAAGAAGATGATGACTAAATAGTATGACGAATGAACTGTGTGATACGGGATATCTCTACAAACATGACCTGGGAAAAGATAAAAACAGTGCAGATGAACTGAAGATTTTTTTCAAGTTTCTTTTTACCAATTATGAATACTTCATGTAATTTCCCAGTGGAGGTCTGTCAGTCAGTTGGGTATATAACCTGGGAGGTGCTTAAGGCTCTTCACAGCCTTTAAGTATAGGATGCATTTATTCCAACTGAAAATAAAAGCTTTTTTATTCTAAATGTCCAGAAGTGTGGGCTACATTGTTTGATCAACTTTTGGTCCAGTATAGTAACAGATCCTATTATTAAATGGAAGCAATCATTAAACCAACATTTCATATTAGGCAATTTGTTTTACAAGTTCTGTTGAAATTAACATCCACTTGAGTTTCTATGTTGGGAAAATCTGCGAGATCTTTTTCAGTGATGTTAAGAACATTGAGCTAAGATTGCTTATAGCTTTCAGTCTATTTTGTTTGCTTTGGACTTGGTATCTTACCCTGAGAGGGGTACATTCCATATTGTCACACACATAGGCTTATTTTTTGAGACTTAAATCTACCTTTAATGGAGGGGAGTTATTGCCTCTAATTTTCATGCAGGTTATAAATCTATATTTCTCAATGGCTAAAAATATGTCTAAGCACCTACTATCTAGCAAATCATACAGTATTTCTTTTGATAAACCTGTATGTATATTAAGAGTTTGGGGACCATATGTTATATCAAGCAGTGGCAATATCCTTTTCTAAATATAAAGATATCAAATCTATAATTCTTGGCTTTCAGTCTACTTTATTTTGTCAGAAGCCTTTTAAATCAGACACACTGACACACTAAGATATGTTTTTTGTATTTATTCAGAACCATTCAAAATAAACTGGATTAAATTTGATAAAAGTATACATTGTAATAGTTCATTTTTCCTCTCTACTGAGGATATTAATGTGGACTATATTCCCAATACAGTTGGTTTTGATTAAATATAGATCACAAGTTTTCTTGTGAAGGAGAAGCAAAATCTTGCAATAAAGTCTACTGTTTCTTCCCATGTAATAAATACAATTATTGATGTGGTAAGGAACTGTAGAAATACATTCAGATGTCAATCATGTAGAAAGATTTTTTTATAATTAAATGTTAAAGAACTATACAATTAAAATACTGTAAAACCCTTGACAAAAAAATGCTCATGCAGGAAGATTTTCATAGAACAGAAACCACCCACAGGCCAAATGAGCTGCTCCTTTATTTGTGACCCTGTTTATGAAATAATAGACTGTCACTTTCAATGCAAACTTACATGGATATTTCTCTTTGTAATTGCAGTAGTTGCAAATAAAATTTAAAAACATCCTGCATGTGAAAATGTTTTATTAAGAAAAGCAACTGTTGGCATGGTAAGTTTGGAATTTAAAACTTAGATTGTAATATAATAGCTGCCATCCACAACATTATAATTATGTACCATTCAAGTATTATACAGAAAGATTTGTCACAGACAGGCAATGTTTTGCTTTTTTGGCTCACCACATTCATAATATCAAACTATAATATGAAAGTAATTTCTTTTTGAAAACAGTGCTGCCAACAAAATGATTTCCAATATAGTTCGAGCAGTAAATTATTTATTGTATCTAAAGCCTAGAATAGTCCAAAAGATGAAATTTCCCTCAAGTCAAATTTGAGGTATAAAGGTACACTCATGTTGTTTTCTGGGAAGCAATAGGGAAATGATTTGCTATGGTTTTCTTCAAGTTTTTCTTTTTATTCCACCCTACAGCCTTGTTTATTTTTCTATTAATGGTCTCACAATTATCTATTAGCCATGTTTGACAAACACTGCATATGCTTTTAAGATAAGACATAGGTGCTTAAACCTGGGTATCTTCCTTAACTTTAGACAAGAGATGATTTGTATCTCATATGTCACAGGAACAACTTGAATTTACAGCTTTTGCCACATTGATGAGTTCTGACTTATTGATCTTTATTTTTTTCCTTTAAAGTATCAAAAAGGATATGATAAAAAGTGAGCTGGAACTCTCTTACTGAACATTCATCAGACTCTTCCAAGCAGGAGTTTGAGTTAAAGGCAAAGATTCTTTTTAATAGCATATTTTCTCAATAAAGAATGAAAAAGGATATATTCGGGTTCTGACATTAAGAGCTAGAAAAAAAACATTTTTGTAAAGTGAAACCGCAAAACACTTTAATCTGTTATTTTCCCTCATCTGGCATAAAAAGGAAATTCTGGAAAATATTATTTGGTGGGACTATAGCAGCCCCATTAGTTGTCTTTTGGGTGGAGCACTTGACAGATTTAAGAGTCTATATTAAAAAAGTGCATAAGGGATTCTGCCAGGCATGTGCTTGATACGAAGCATTTCTCTTTATGTGCTTTTACTAAAGCTAAAGCACTTTTTTCCAGATATCATTTCCCTAAATATTAGGACATTTTTAAAAAAATAGTAACATTTTTACTGCGTCACCCATAGTACAATGCTGTACATTGTTCCTCTAAAAGCTATGTAGGCTACAAGTGCAGTAAAGGAGAACCAGAAGGGTCAAGAACCATAATAAATCCAGGAAACTCAGAACATTTAGAATAGTTGTAAAACATGCTGTAACTGTACTCACTCATCTTGCTTGGTGCCCTGCCTTATGGGTATCTGGTTGGCTACCATGGAACTCGTACTGTAAAGTATCTTGGAGACTCAAATGGACTTTTTCCAAAATCCGATCTAACTGGGTTCTTCTTAGTACTTTTTCATGTCAAGGTTTTGTTTCAGCTATTTTATTTCAAGATCCTTTCCCATATATACCATGCTAAACCGAGATTTGCCACATAATGTAACTTTTCTAGGAAGCAACAGACTGTTCTAACCCTCTGCTAACCTTCTGCACATGTTCTGGTGCATTTGGAGAGACTACCAAGCAATAATGGCAAACTGTTTCCCAAATTTGGAAAGATGTTAACAGATCCATGCATCATGCATAAATGGCTAAATTGGACATATATTTTTCAGATCCTTTCTGGGTGATCTCCACCGCTTGGCATCTTTTCCACTTGCAATGTAGTGATTGTAATTTTTTTCTCCTAACATCCCTGCTGCACATTTCTCCAGTATACATTATAAGACACTTGATGCCCTGCTCATATGGATTCCTTCACTGGATCCATCCTAAAATTAAGGAGGGGGATAGGGGTGGCTAATCTTGTTAACGTGCTACTTTTCGATTTGCTAACCTTTTTAAAAAAGTTTTTATTGTAATGTCACCTTCCTTTCCAGAAGGGGGAGACAAGTGCATAACATTATAATCACAACAAAAATGTAATTTGCTAAAAGAACAAACCTGAAAGACATTCAAACACTATGTATCATTGTATTGCTTCAGATAAATTCAGCAGATTCTACCAAAGCCAGTTATTTGGCTTCTTTAAAAATCTTTATATTCTGTCTTGTCACAACAAAAAAGCAGCTAAAAGAGCAGTTTAAAATACATAATTTTAAACTTGACCCATATAGTTAAAAATAAACCCTCTCATGTCTAGTACTAAGTTTAAAAATAAAAGTCCTGCTGACAATGACCTGCCTCTTTCATATACACTATTCAAAACATACAACTGAATTATTTCAGCCAAGATAATGTTTAAAAATGGAAAATGTATGCATCATACTATGCATTCCTGTTATGTTATTCCCTTTCAGGTTAGAAGTTTTATGCAAAAGAAAAAAAAGCAAAGAAAATGAAAGGAAGGAAATAGAGAAAAAAAGAAATAAATATAAATATATTTATGTTAAAAATTTATTCCTATCTTTCTGCTTTGCAAACAACCATTATCTCCACCAGACCCATACACTGATTCAAACATCACTTTTTGTTCTTTAATCTCACCATTTTATAGATCTCGTCGTCTTCTAACCATGATCTTTTCATCATCATCTTTCCCTTCAACCAGTTCATTCTTCCTTTTTATATTTATTTTATAATTCAATCCTAATTTGTTCTCTGTATAAGATAACCTCCTTAGCATTATCCAATTCAATCCATGTGCATTCATCCCCCATTTCTTCTTGAATTCTTCTGTTCATATCCTACCATGCACACATTTAAGTGAACTATTTTCAGTGTGTGGAACTTAATTTTATATTTTCCTGACCTAACTCCCAAATAAGGGTAAAGAAGCATGCTTTTTACAAAGCATTTTTCCTTCATTGGCGAACAAACAACTAAAGCAAAAATCACATGCTATCCACTATCTTTCTAACTGTATTTCCATTTTTTAAAAAATTCTCCATCAGTGTTCTCGGATTTAATGATCACTTAGTACTAATTTATTATTTAGTTATTTATTTATTCTGCTTCTATATATCTTGCAATTCTTCCCTCCATTGCCTGTCAAACACAACTACTTTGATACATTAAGACTGCTCTTTCTGATGTCATATTACCTATCTAATATTTTCTGCAAATAATTCAGTTTATGAGCCAAGAACCTTTCATCTACCTACATCTACCTACCTACCTGCTTTTCAAGATGGCAGTCTGCATGCTAGCCAAGTTGAACTCTGAATGAGAGAGCAAATGTTATTTGGGTGTTTAAATGTTTGGTGTTCTTTTGTTTTATTTGATAGATTATTTTGTGTGGATTATTTTATATTTAGTCTCTTTTGAGACAAGTTAGATAAGAAGGGCACGTCTGAAATGTGGTAAAAGAGAATCGTAGACTGATTCATGAAACCATGAATTCTGAACCAGTGACCAATTTTTTTGGAAAATTTGGGCTTGGGTTGTTTGCAAAGAGCTTGTTGCTAGAGGCTAATGTACCAGGCCTGCATGAGGGGAGTGAAGAATCAATTGGGGGGCAAGCTGCAAGAATCCAACTGTGACAGCAATTATTACAAGACATTCTTAGAATGGTGGGCTGAAAAGTAATCAGGTTGATGAAGCAGCTTGCATCAACCTAAGCTACAGCATACAGCCCATTCTACAACATTGGTGGTTGTGCGAAGGTATTTTGGAGAGATTGATTCTGGAACCTTACAGGAAAGCTATGGTCAAATATGGTGGGACACAGGGCTGGGATCTGGAAGTAGAATCTGTTTGGGATTCTTTGACTAGCGGGGATATTTGCTCAGATGTTGCTTGGGAAGGACAACTTGGCTGATGCTCTGAGTTCTCGGGTAAATCTCCTGACAGAACAATCAATAGTGGAATGACTTGCCTCCAGAAGTTGTGGGTGCTCAAACACCGGACTTTTTAAAGAAGAGATTGGACAACCATTTGCCTGAAATGGTATAGGGTTTCCTGCTTGAGCAAGAGGTTAGATTAGAAGTCCTCCAAGGTCCCTTCCAATTATGTTATTCTTCAATGTCCTCTATGTTGATTTGCTTTGGAATATCATCTAAAAAATGCAATTATTATAAAATGTGCTGACTCTTTTGCTGACTTGCATTCCTTATGGTGATCATATTACAGCTATGTTGTTGGGCCTTTAAGAATAGATTTCAGGATGCAATTGTAAGTGCTAATTTTGACTTATAATGTGTATATGACTTAGACACAAGGTGTCCAGAGGACTTGCTTGCTTCAGTCTGCATCCTACCAAAGGAGCAAAGGGAAAATTTGCTACTTGGGTCCAATTTTGTAAGTTGAAGAGTGCGGGAACCAGAAAACACAATTTCTTCATCCAAGCATGATTTCTCTGGAATAGATTTCATGTAGAAGCTAAATTCTTGATAATGAAGCTTATGTTAAATATTAGATATTAATGAAGTTTATCTAGCTAAATAATGGCCTTCCAAAATGTAGTGCAAAAAAACATTTTTTTCCCAGGGCCCCCTCAGGGAATGATAACTCAACATTGTATAATGTAATTGTAATTTACATTTCTTTACATTTTCCTATGAAATTTTAATTGCCTACTTTGTTATTTGGGAATGTGAGTTAATTTTATTGTAGATATCTTTGCTGTAGGCTGCATAAGACTGGAAGGATTTTGCTGCATACATATTTAGTAAATAATCAATCCCACACATATCTAGCATCACCACCAGCATTTTGTATATATGTATTTATAAATACCTTATTCCCTGGCTCAATGAGCCCTGTTTAGGGTGTCCTGCTCCCTCCTGAATCGGAGGGAGGGGGAGGACCCTCTGCAAGGGCGAGCCGAGGAGTTTAGTCAGCATCTGCTGGACAAGATCGCTCAGATTCGGGATGGCTTGGCCTCCGACTGGGCAGGGTCAGACGGTGGGGAGGCAGCAGGTCTTGTCATCTGGGAGGAGTTCGATCCTGTCACCCCAGAGGAAGTGGACAGGATCGTGGGGAAACTGAGTGCAACCACATGT